CTCTCGATGGAAGAACTTGACTCCTGCTATATGAGGAAATTAGGAGCTGTAGGGAGTATTCCTGAGTGCTGAACTGTCTTGCTGTTGTTAGAGCAGTTCCTGGGATGGTTTTGGCCCTGACCAGGCAGTGTCTCCCAGCATACACCAGGGACTCTTCCCAGGAGGCGGCTTTTCTGTGGCTGCGCAGTTTGGGAAACCCACCTCTCCGCAAGGAAGTGTGGAGTCCCTACGCAGCTATATTTCACTATCTCTTTAAACTATCATAACACTGCTAAGTATGAATGCATCTGCTCATAGATCAAGCCATGAGATCTGTGTCCTTTTCACTGGAGATCGGAACATCAGTGGTAGGACTTACCTGATTTGGTAAGACTTATTTGATTTTGAACATCTTTGGGGTAGATGTATTCGTACTGGTTAGTGGAGAGAAATAGAGATTCCGGAATGTGATTCACGTAAGCTATGTTGGATGTCTCCTTTAGGATGGGATCACGCACGTGCTGCAATTGCTTATATCTCTCTACTGAATATGAAGGGCTCTGGGTTGGTAGCTCATACGTGTGCTGCAAATGTCTGTGCATGTGTTCATGTGAATGCACTCTTAATTTCTTCACTGACAGTGAGGCCATGACTTCTCAGTTTCTTTATCTCAATCAACGTGCAGTTGTTGTGTCGCGCCCCCAAGTCTGCATTACTGCTGCTGCTCTTGTGCCGGCACCAGCTTCTGTGCAGCCACAGAGTGCATCGAGGCAGGAATGGATCCGGCTACAAACTGGCTTGTCAAGTAAAGAAAAGAAAAAGGGTTGCTTTTAACCAAATCTGTTCCCTGATCCTCTGTGCTGCCCAACACCTGACACAGTGCTGGAGGAGACTGGGAACCTTCGGTGTGAGATGGAGTGGAAAGCTGAACTGTGTCTTTTGACATAGCCTTCACTCAGGTCAGCTTAAAGCATTTAAGTGGCAGCCTAAGTATAGTGAAGCATAGGTTCCTTGTTTTTAAGACAGAGCTAACGTTATCTGCAGAGAACAGTTGTAGATCCTGTCTTGGAGTCTGGGGGTATATTCCGTGGAGCTCCTTGCAGCCCATTTTCTGCAATTCTGCCGGTGGAATGAACACCAGCCTTTGCACAGTTGTAAATCTGTTGACCTGCATTAACTCCACGGTAGTTAAATCACTTGTATGAGCTGAGAATAGGCCTGATCAGAGGCTTCTGTCTTGTCTTGGGCACAACAAATGCAACAGGAAGAAACACGTGAACTTAGCAGGGTCCAACCAGCCAATGTTGTAAGCTGTAGGAGACCAGAGCCAGCTACTGATACACGTGGCTTGCTCTTAACACAGCATCACGAGATGGTCCACAGAAATTTGAAGGGGAATCCCCCATTCCTGTACTCACCACGGGCCCTGGAAAAGCCTGCAAGCCTCGTTTCCACATGGCAGGAGAAATGCTTTGCCTGGCTCTGCTCTGTCTGCAAGCCACAGGGAAGGGTTTTGCATGGAAAGCGTCTCCTGCCTTTTGAAATCGAGTTTGCCCGTGCAGCTCTGGGAAGGGCTTTAGCTGCGTGGAGCCTCGTACTGTACCGATCCTAGAAGAGAAGGCTGGTTCCTGCTTTCCCTCTGCTGCCTTCACAAGCCTGGCTGCAAATGCTGCCACTGGCCACCAAGAGAGGGGAAATTAAACAGCTATGCAAATTCCTCTCCCTTTCGTTCTCCTGCCCTGATCCACGCCATGGTAAAAGGAAAGCGTAAGAGAAGCTGGGTGTCACCCAGAATGTTTCTGAACTTCCTTCTTTAAAAACAGGCTGTTTTGGTCTCCACTGAAATAGCAGGCAGTACAGGCACCTAAAATGAAAGTCAGCTGAGGGAATTATTTGCATGCCTGTTCCCTGCCATGTGGCCTCCTGGATGCCAGGAGTCAGGGAGGGGAGATAGGGACCTGAGTCATTGCTGTTGGTGCTTAGTGTTGCTCATGGGGAGCAAGCTTATTTGAAGCCTGGAGGAAGGTCCTGAGGTATGTGAAGATATGCTCATGTGCAGCTCTTTGCCACCTGCATAAACAGCTCTCTGCATGAGCAGGGTCTGCCTTTTTGGCTGGGAGATGCCTTTCAGGAGGTGAGGCAAAGTTCATATCCCTCAGCTGTAACCTCTGGTTCTGCTCCCTCTTGGTGATGCTGATCCTCAGGTTATGAATTCATTCTGCACGTGCAGCTTTGTCTCCAAAGAAGGGTGGAGAGAGAGCTGAAAATATTCCTTCTGCCCTCTAGAAAATGAGAGTTTGATGACATTAAGAAAAAGAAAAAAGCATCTCAAATCCGCAAGTATTTCCACTCCCCTCTGAGCGGGCCCTGTTTCCGTAAGTTGTCATCTTTACTGCAGCATGTGTGCATCCACTTTCAGTGAAACACAACAGCACAAATCCCACTAAAGGCAGCTGTCACGAACACAGTTCCTCTGCTGACTGGGAGCCAGCGCCCTTGTCTTCCTCTCTCCTTAACCACAATTGATTAAGGATAGCAAGAAACTTATTGCTCCCTAATATCATCCGGAAAGGATTTCCATATGTTGCCTTATCCTCTGGAGTGGGAGGAGCTCCCTTTTGCCAGCGAAGCGGGGTGCAGTATTACTGAACCCCCATTAAGCTGTGCTAGGTTTATTGGAGGAGAGGTTGCAGGTGGCTCTTTATAGAAAGATGCATTTCATCCTTAATTTTCATATACCTTATAGTATCCTTTCCAGTGGGAAATTAAGCAGACGCTCTCTGTATCCATTGCAGCTGCTTCTAGTGTTAAATTAAACTGCTGCTATTACAGTGAGCCATTGCAGGAGCTGATTTGTGTTGTTCCTTAATTGTTTATGACTGTGAATTTGAGCCAAGTTGCAGTCCTGTAGTAGTAAACGCTGAAGATGTGCCCTGGAAAACAGATGTTTGGACCAAAGCCAAGATGGTTTCAGGAAAGACAGTGAGAGAGAAGCAGGAAGCCTGTTATCTGTCTGATTTATTGTACAGGGTGAAGAAATTCGCCCCAGGGCAGAGTGCTCCCACAAGGCTGGTGCAACACTAAGCTGATTTTAAGTATCTTTTGGAAGGCTAATGCGGGCAGCTGTTGCTTTGCTGGTGCTAGCACTAGGTGTGCCAGACCTGTGCGCTTTGGAGCTGGGTGGAAAATGCTTTTCCGTTTGCTGGTGACTGCAGAACATCTCATGTGACAGACTGGCTTGTGTGAAAGTCCCAACATATTTTTCTTCCAGGGTGACAACCTTTTCGATCTGATACAATGCGGTAGGTTTTTTTTTTTTTTTTAAAGTTACAATGGCATGAGGAGTTAGATCAAAAGCGTATCTCTGTAGTGGAGATGCCCCATGTGAACAAGTCATGCCCAGTCAGTCCCCTTTACTGTCCGAGGAGAAAAATGGGCACTGCCAGGGATTTCATCACACTGTGACAGAGGGATCTAAAAAGGACTTAGGAAACTATTGCTACATATAAAGCATTTTAGTCCCAGGGAATCATCAAAAAACATGTGGTTTCCTTTAGCGATGTTTATATCCTTAGAGACCTAACATGATGACTAGTAATTCTGACCATCACCCTGATATTTTGAAGGTAGGGTTTTGTAATTCCTTTCAAGGGAGCGCTTACAGCCCTCCTCGCCTCTCCTTGTGGTCCTGTTCATGGAAGATTAGGTCCTGAAAATCAAGGCTGTGGGAACTGGGGACTTGGAAGAGATTATATAATCTTCTCTTGCCCATCAGTCACTAGAAGTAGTAGTGAAGTATGGCTATAGGCAGAGAGAAGACATCTCCTTTCACACAAAAGGCATGCGTGGAAGGCTGCAGATGCTCTGACTGCTGGCCTTAGGTCTCAGCCCCTGCTGGCCTTAGGTCTCAGCCCCTGTGGACTTCCCACATTGATGCTGCTTTGCACAGACAGAATACGTAACTGCTTAGATTCCCCTCCTGCTGCCAGAAATCCTTTGATTTGTTTTTCTTTCTGCTTTCAGACTAAATAGGCTTCTTAGTTTGTGAAACAAAGGAAATGTCTAAATAGTTAAGTCAAACAAAGGGGGAAAAATGATTTGTTCCTGTTAGAGAGATTTTCTTACCTAATTTGATTGGGTTTCTCTGCCTCTTGTCAGTCCAGGCAGAAGTCTTAGGCTTCTTGTGTCATGGACCGTTTATAGTCTGTTTGCCGCACTGTTATGCTGTGCCGCAAATGCCCCTATTTACAGAACTACTTGTACTTGAATATTTAACACAAGTGGCTTTCTAGAGCAAGTTCATCAGGGACTTGGCTAATGCGTCTAACGCACCCTTCAGGGAGATGCCACCCTGGCCCTGAAGAGAACAGGATTACGCTGATCTCCTGCATGCTCTCCCTGATGGTGCTTTACCTTTCCCACTACCTTCTGTCAAACTGAACAAATGCTGATACTTAGGAAGATGTGTTTTCCCAATTGAGGGCAACACCAGACCCAGAGGTCTTTGGCCAGCCCTTAATAGAGGTCTTGCAGCCACTGGTGGCCCATTACCTGTGCATTCCTGGAAAGATACATGGCTCATGGTGTTTTCTCTCTTCCTCTCCTGCCCTGTCACCCCAGGAACCCAAAGGTTTTCTTCTCTTTTCAAGCACAGCATTGAAGTGGGTTTATGAGTCCCCAATGCAGAATCAACCTGGTTGTTAGCCAGTGGACCCATGAGCTCAAAGGGGAAGGAGAGTGTTCCTGTGCTATCTGTTGTGTGAATTGGCCTTGGGTAGGGTAACGAATTGAGGGGAACCTCCTCGGTAGCCCCTTCCCACACACACGCTCAAATCTCCATCAGAGAACAGCTGTCCTTCGCTGCATGGGCCACCCATTTGCGAAAAGTGTCACTCTGTGAGTGCTCAGCACTTGTGAAAATGCAGGCCAAAACAGTTTGTTTCAGTTTGTGTTTCGGTCCCGTGTTAACTGTAGCTCTTTGTCTCTGTTTTCTAAACCAGGAAGAAGGAGAACGTCTCAACATAGCCAAGAGATAAACAAAACCACAGCTCACTGAGACCTGGCCATGCACTACCAGAGAGTTATTCCAACTTCTACAGTTGCCCTGGACTTTTGTACAGAGGGCTGATGGAAACTCATCACTCCAGACTGCTGGGTAAGAGAGGAGACACTCTAGCAAAGGGCTATGGTTTGATTTCTCAAGTTTTCCTCTTTCCTTGATTCTCCTCTCTCTTGCCTCCTTGAACAGAGAGTCTGAGTTTTAAAGTCAGCCCAGCCACAGGAGCAATTTCCTTGATTCTTTCAGCTGAGAAAAGTTTTTCCATGTTGTCCTCAAATGTGATGAAAACAGAAGCCCCTCTAGTCAGAGACTGAAGTTGTCTATCAATCAGGAAAATACTATTTACAGGTAAGAAAATGCTGTTCCCAGCAATGAGTCATGGTCTTCTTACATGGGGGGCCAGAGAAGCTGCCCTTGGGATAGAGAATTTGAGCACAGAGAGAGGGCTGCATCCTAGCACACACTTCATTCAACTTTTTATTGATGTAGCGGAACAATATATTTGGCAGGTAATGGGTAGTGATGGGACTCATGTCATTTAACTTTGGTGGCCCAAGAGTTATATATCTACAGCTGAGTTCAAAGGGCCTCTTGCCCTCCGTTGACTAGAAGGGGCACCAGGAATGACTGTTTCAGATGTTGACCTCGAAAGTTGGGTGGTAAAACGCAGCCCTTGGGCACAGATGGCACGGTGATGGGCACCAGCTACAGCAGCTAGCAATTGCTGACTTCAGTAGATCTTCTCACTGGAAGCTCTGAAAGAGCCTACAGAGAACACCAACCCAAAGCCTTTGTTGTGTTTCCTGGCATTGTGCTTTTATATGTTTTTGTTTTCAGCTGCTTAAAATTATCTTCAGATCCCTTTTCTTTTTGCCCCTCTCTCTACATCCTCATCATATGAGCTGAATTTTCTCTTTATAGCTTCACTTATGAATATGGGTCAGCACCCAGTGAGCTGAATGCCTGAGATCATTTCCACACCATGTATAAATAGTACTCAGTTATTTCACAGTTTCATGTTCAACTTGCCGGCTTCCAACAGGCTTGTGTTCCCGAAACCCTTTCTATTCTCATAGCGTTCAGCTTTTTGAACACGTGACTTAACATAAATTACAGCAGAAGCTGTTCCAGCCCAGAAAGTCCTGATTTGGCTTTGCTATTCTGTTGTTGTAGTTTGACAACTGGTGTCTAGTCACTAGTACTGAAAGCTATTGCGGGTCTTTCCAGCCTTGCATTGAGTTCAGATACGTAGTTAGGCTGACAGCTGAAGTTGCACTGCCTTACCCACGTTAAGAAGTGTTTGGTCAGTCCATCATCTCACTAGGCAGTGGAGGAAGTCAGAGAGTCTCCAGCTGGATGGATAACTAACGTCTGGTTTACTCCTGTCCAGTGGAGATAAGAGGCTGGTTAAAACCGAGGGAATTTTTAGACTCTTCCCAAATATCACTTGTCTTTTGTTTGACACAGGACTTGTCATGTCTCCCTTTCTTCGTATTGGTTTATCCAACTATGACAGTGGCCCTTACCTGCCATCCCAGGGAGAGGTGATTAACCCTTACTGTGCTGTGATGGTTAAAGAAGCAGTGGAATCAGGTAAGTGGGGAGGCATTAAATATTCATGTAGTGTGGCTTTTACTAGACTTGTGTGTGCCTTACTGTGACATTATTGGAGCATAAGAAGCACGTGGTAAGCATCTTTATAAGGGTTTGTGAAGTGCTCTTAACGTTGGAACACAGTGCAAGGCTGGGGTCAGCATGGCCCGCAAGGCAATCTGACTTTAAAATGATGTATAATAAAGTCTCCATCTTTACCTTGAAGTTATTATCAACTGAATTACAGGTCCCAGTACATGACACAGTAGGATGAGCTGAGCTGTATTTGATTTCACTTGTATTTGAGTGGTGGCTAGTTTGTCGGTAGGACACCAGACAGATAAAATCTCGATGTCCCAGAAATTCCTGAGAGGGCTGACTTTGTTTGTCACATTTTTTTAAGGACCTATCAATCAGGTTCAGTAACTTCCACCATTAAAAAATAGCTCTCAGACCGGCACAATCTTTGCGGAGAGAGCCAGTGTCTCTGCTTAATTGCTGTACTGTGTAAAATGTTCAAAGGTGAAACCTTCTACTAAGCTATTTTCTGTGTCTGCATATGCAGACTGTTGCACACTTTTCCTCGTTGAACAGCACTGATGAGTCCACATTGGGAAAACATTTCTTATTTTTCTGATGCATATAGTAGTCCTGGTGAGAGTTTAAACAGTTCTTCAGTTCTGCTCTTCAAATCCTTCAGTGCTAGGGAATTCCTCATATTAGCTGTTATTTATCTTAAAGCTTTGATAAATTACTAGCTTTACTGCTGTAATTCTTTTAAAACCTAAAACATCTCAGAAATCCCTGTTTATGCCTTGGGAAACCTCAAGCCTCCAGAGGATGTTAAAGTAGTTGAAGAGAGGAAATTTTAGAATTGTAAACTAATTCAGTGGTTCATTGTTTAAAAAAAGAAAAAGAGTGACCATTTATCACATTAAAATATTGGCTTTGTTTAAATTATTCTTCAAATGATTTTAGAAGATGTGGTGACTGATAAATTCAGAAGGGAAAAAACTGCTGCATGACAAAATATCCCCAAGATCTCACTTTTTACTGAAAATATGTCCTATTTCAGCTCTATACAGAGCTTGGCTGTTTGTTTTAATGAGGCTTTTGAAAGAGCCATAACTTCAAGTGAAGTCTTTGTCAGTTGAAAAGTGAATAAAATAAATCTGGGCAGAATGAACCTTATTTGTCTTACAAGGAGCTGGAAGAATTTTTCTGGCATCGGAAAAACAAAAATGTACTAACTAAGGCATACAATTTTTGCTCTGCTGAGAGCCTTTTCTAATAAAGAACTATCAATGTGTGAAATGAAGAAAATATGTTTGAAGGAACTTTTTTCCATCAGTGAGGATCAAATGTAGGAAAAATGACGCCCCTCTGTTAAAAGATTTCTTCGTTGGGTGGGCGTGCATTCATCTAGCGCTCAACTGCTTTGAGCACACTGAGGCAGTCAGGGTGATTCCTCTCTCATCCTGATCTTTGGTCCTCATCATGTCAGCTCTCTCATGTCAGCGGATAATGGCAGGAACCTCCCGAGACTAATTCATCCCACTGGTCTCTGACCCCTCTCTTAGAATAAGATGAATCGCCCTTGGGAGGTGTTGGTCTTAATCTGCTGCTGATGGAGGGTGTCTGAATAGCTAGATGCCTAACCCTACCTTAAGGTGACTAAACCAAGATGAAGCCACAATGAGTTTTATCTCCTGTAATTTTGATCCTGTGCAAGAACATAAATACCTGAGAAAGTCGGCTACCCTTCCTTTGTAGTCCAGAGGAACAAACAGGGATTTCTATGGTAAGATTCATCTCATCTTACGGAGGACATCTAGAATGGGTCTGATGGGTCACACCTTATAAATATCTGTGTTTTCCTCTGATTCTGAGGGCAGTTTAGACACTCAGCTCAGCAGTAGGTGTCTCAAGTTCAGTGGGATAAGCCCGATCTCAGTGCCAGAAATGTTCTCAAGAAGACCATCCAGAAGGGTTGTCACACTCAGATGGACACTGAGAATGAAAAAGGCAGTGAAGGACTCAGTACAAATGTTAGTTTTGAATATCTGAAATGTCTACAGATTCTACTTTCAGAGTCTTGCTCCTTTGTGCTGGCAAATTTCTAGTTTGCAGTCTTGTATTCATAGCTTACTCTCCAATTCCCTGGTTTCGTGCAGCAGTTGCTGCTCGGTGGTGATGAAATTCAAAACGTTCTTATGCTATTGCCCTAGTAGACAAATTTTGGCTCAAGTGGCATGCCCAAGGAGGAGAGTGAATCAACTGCAAAACTGGTGAACGATGCAAGCGATCCTGACCCCCTGCCTTGTGCTCTAACATGGTGCCATTAGGATTTCCTAAGGGCAAACGATTGCTATGTAACAGTGACTGCAGAATGCGGGACGGGATGAACCTAATCCCGGCCCCAAACCATGATACATACAATCCCAAATCCCTGCAATCTTTGTTGAGTTCAGCTGATTTCTAAGCCTATGCTGAAATCATTTTGGTAGATGCCTCTGCTCCGGATTTTGCAATGTGCTGGTATGGATCAGATATGCTATGTGTGGTATTAGAAAGGGTGAGTGGCTTTTCGGGGGGAAGGGAGCAGTGGTAGATGGTTAATATGTCTGGTTTCCAAAAGAAAGAGTTTGAGCCTAACTTCAGATTCACGCCAAGGACTGTCCCGTGTCAACCAGCCATGGTGAATAACTAGTCACTGGGATAGAGCATCCCAAGGGGCTGGGTGTGGTGCACAACGTCTATGAGTTCAGGAATGTCATGACAAGGGCACCTTAATGAATTTTAGGAGCTCAAGAAAGATCTTGAGCAGCCTTTGGTTTTTTCCCACCTGTTTACTTTGTAAAAGAGATCTTGGTATTTTATGATATATTCTTAAAAAACAGTAAGAAATGTTCCAGCAGTTTGTTACTAATGACAGACCATTTCAGAGATCGTAGGCACCTCTGACGTATAAAAAAAATCTGCCCTTTAAAAATTGCTTCTGTCTCCGTGAGCCACCTGTCCTAGTGCCGTTTGACCAGCAGCTGTCTTAGTGACATTTGCTTCGTGAGAGACCCTGCTCCATGTCTGAACTCAGCAGGCCTCCAGGAGAGGCAGTGCCAGCTACAGTGGAAGCTGCTCCCCAGGAGAAACAGATGCTATTTTATCTTCCATGAGCCCGGGGTTAAATTAATCCTTGGCAAAACTCCACAGACGTCAGAGAGGATGCGCCAGGAACGAGCATCTGATCCCATACATTGGCCAGTTCATTCACATTCCAGGCCTTGTTTATTTAATCCATATACTTTGGAGTGCAATGCAAACCAAAGCACTTGTTTTGCAAGCGATGTGTTTCACATCTTTAGAGTACTTCACTGATGTAGCAAGGGAGTAATGGTTCTTTACTGAGATTTCTGTTCTCTGTGATGCTGGGAAGTTGCTGTCTCATTTGGCTGCTTTTGTTGAAAGAGTGGGTTGAACGTATATTTGCAAGTTTGAGCCTTGATCCATGCCTGGCCCTTCAGACTTGCAGAGCCGTCATTGTTGCTGGAGAAACTCTCCTGAAGGCAATGGGAATGAACTAAGCCTGTAGACAATGAGCTCGATATCCTGTCGCCTAAATCTGCATACCTGAAAAGTTAAAGTGAAAGGAGAGGGCTTATGGTCACCTCTACTTAACTGGTAGAAATGGAGGCACCTTAGATTCAGGTGCTCTCTACACTTTGGGGAAGCAGAATTTGAACCTAAGATTGAGCTGCACAACCTTTGGTCAAATTGGGCAGGACAAAGATGAGAAGTACCTTTACGCTAAGGGAATGGTCTCCGCTTGGTTTTGCAATGCAAGGCCATTGCTACTGATCAGAGAGACAGTAGCCAGCTAAACTGCTTCGTGAGAGCCAGGTGTTGGGTTGTGGAGCGAAATTTTAGCAGTGTTGACCCACGATTCCGCATCTCTGTTCTCAAGAAGCTACTTTCTGCCTGTTTTGTGTAAATCAAAGCTGAGTAGAGGAAAGAAACCAGAGTTAGTCAAAGGCAGACACAGATTTTCTCTAGCAATGAGCACATCACATTCCAGGCTATCCACTGCTTGTGCAATGCTGGCAAGGAGGGAAAAGCTGGGATTACTGGAAATAGAAGCAGGGTCTATAGGAGGCAGGATTCACAGGTCATAAGGTCTGCTGCTCACACAACTGATTTTTATTCTCTTATTTCACCAGTTTTGACATTTGATGGGTTGAAAAGTTACAGAGAGTAACTGTGGAATAGAATTTACCTTAAGTAAGTGTCCAAGCCTTTTACAGGGTATAAAACTGACTTTATGAAATAAAGCAAGCTGGCTGAGACTCTTCATTTGACAGGTCAAAATAAAGAGATTACTTTGCTAGCTAATGCTAGGCCTCAAAGATACATTTCACCGTTTTAAGATGTGTCTGCTCTGAAGGAAAAGGAATGAATGCGTGCGGAAGAGGTGCAGAAAAGGTTTGCTAGGTCAACAGCTCTACCTTGCTGTGGATATGCTTGCAACACTTGCAAGCGACTTCACACATCAACATCCCTGAGTCTGAGACGTTAGCAACTGACTGGATGCGCGCTCCAGCTGAACTTAGCCACAAAGTGCATCCAGCTTTATAGTGCATTGAAACAGCTAGTTTTATTTTGCATTGCCGTGGGACAGATGTTACAAGTAGCTGATTATCTGCAATGGGATTCATCTGATTCGATGTGAGTATCCGTGGTGTAGGTATCTATGTCTGAGATCTACTCGACAGAGTTAATGGAGCCAAGCACGGAAATGGTCTTACGTTATGGTAGATGTCTGTAGCTGTTGAAAGGAATTGCACCCTCATTCCTTTATTTTATGTTAACTAAAACTTCACTTGCTGTAAACAGAGCCAACGTCCATATAGCTCAGATATGAACATCTACATTGTAGCCACCTATTGTTAGGTGAGATGAATCCCATCCCCAGTTTCACTTAGCGCAGAAACCTCCTAACACGTGATCCATAACATGGCCTGCCTGAGGGACCCACCTTAAAATGGGTAAATAACACAGATCTGTCTCAGGGACTGTAGAGCAGTGGCCTTATTGCAGGTGAGAAGCAAGTCCAATCAGTCCAAACTATTTTTTGTTGACAGAAAATGGCCAAGTGTATGTGCAGAAGAAGCCCACCATGTACCCGCCCTGGAACAGCACTTTCGATGCCCACATCAACAACGGCAGAGTCATGCACATTGTTGTCAAGGACAAAAGTGCTGAAATGGTTTCAGAGACCACGGTGGAACTCAAGGTGCTGGCAGAGAGGTGCAAAAAGAGCAATGGAAAGACAGAAATATGGGTGAGTGTTCCTAGCTCCTTTTACACCATGTGACTGCTGTAGGGTACGGGAACGCCCTACCCCATGCCAGGCTGTGAATATACCCAACAGGGCAGCAGGAACGGGCTGCCATCCAGTGAATAATAGTTTGAGTCAACTGGAGTGTGGCTTGAAGGAAGGATGTCTGTGAATATGAGAAAAAACAACATAGCAGATTTATATTACCTCCTGCTGTTATATGGAAACTTATAGCCTATATTAGCAGGTATTCTGGTTCATGTGAGCCATGCCCATGTATTAATCTTTGCTTAGGAAACCCACTGGAGACAAATGGCAGTATGAGTGGCTAAATATGAATTATTTCATGTGCTCTGGGGAAACAGCTTTACAAATTTAATCTTTCTAATATCAAGTAACTGATTCACAGCTGCCTGGCTTCAGAGGTATGCCAGAGGAACTCCTTTAAAATTACTGGAGTTACACGGGAGTAAATTTGAACTAACAACAGTCCTCGTAAGGATGCTAAATGTTAAATCGTATTCCTTGGTAGTCCAAGCAAGAAAGTTGTTGGTAATAGGCTATAACATGTAGTATTCGAGAGCCGTGCCCTGAATAACAATAGAGTGGCGTGACATTTGGAGAGAAATTGATTTCCTGGAATTGTTTTTTGTTTTGTTTTTACTGTCAGTTCTCATGCTAAACTGTTTGGGTTAAGCAGAGAGTAGAAAAATCAAAATGGCCTAGGATACTTATAGACCTGTGGGCAAGATTTGGTAAAGAACTGTGCATAAATTGGAAGGAATCGAGATACCTAGGGCTAATTTTGAAAATCAAAAGGTCCTGTTCAGCATCAGCCCGACTCCAGAGGCACGTGCTTCAAAGCTGCGGGAAACGGTAGCTCAGCAAGGAGGAGAGGGAACATGCAGTCTGTGATCCTGCTTGTTTGCAGCAAGAGTAACAGACCAGAGATCAAATGGAAGTGGGGCACCTCAGGTCTATCGTGTCCCAGCTTGGTAGCAGCTCCTGAGATCTTGTCTCCATTCACTCCCTGTTTTGTCTCTAAGATGTCTTCTGTCCATGCTTCAAACTGCTCCAGCCTGAGCAGTGTAGCGGTGGCCTCCTTCCTGAATCCACAGAGAAGTAAGAACCAGGCTTTTCACCCAGTGAGGTGACCAAGATCAGTGACTGCAGAAGCATTCTCTGAGCTTTGGGTTGCTTTCTCTTGCAACAGGTGGACATGGGGGTCTAGCTTTCATCTGATAGCCTAGTGCTTAGGGTAGTTAAGTCCATTCAGGAGTTAGCTCAGGTTGTCCTTCTTCTTATGAGGGCTGATTTTGTATTTTACATTAAGTAGTAATTGATTTAAATACAGATATTATGTGCATAGCTTATGAGCTGTGGAGAGTGGTCCCAGATTTCCCATCCTGTAAGGGTCAGAAGGTGAGAGAATAACATTTTTCCTTACCTTTCTATGCAATAGCTCTGCTTCTCATGGAAGACAGTGAGCTAGCCTTGCTCAGACTATCCTGGAGATGAGTGGGAATCACTGTTGTGGTTCCCAGGCTGAAGAAATCCTTGAATTTAGGTCTCCTCCTTTTCAGGCAAGTGCTTTCACTGCTAGGCTCTTTCATAATACAGAGCATCACCCAACCCTGCCCTGAAAGTGCCACTTTCAGAAGCAGTTTACCTGCTTGTGCGCTTAAATCAATGGACTTGTGATTAGGCCTAGACCTCTTGGAGCTAGATTTAAAAAGGCACCTATGCATGAGGTTCAGATAGGTGGGAGTTCTCGGGTCCAGCGGGAAAGTCAAAAATGCCTGAGGAACTCACATTAACGATTTCAGCACTTTTTTAAGCACCTGTCTGAAGTTGGTTGGATATTCAGAGGTGCTCCCATGTCTTCTTTGCGGCACCCACTGGGAACGACAGGTTGTGTTTATATAAAGTACTGGGTCCTGAGCTGCTGTCTAAAATCCTGCCTGCAACGTCTGCGTTTTAATCGCATTTATCAGTGTTCTGTCATGCTGCTCTGAGAGTTTGATAGGAAGTGATCTTAGCCCCCTGTCTACAGCTGCTCTCACCCCACGCTATCCCCCACAAGGATAGAAGCACAATTAGCCTTCATTGGCATTTGTCAGTTCCCACTGGGAAATGGAGGTAGCTTGAGCCATCTGAAGTGATTGTTGCTGTTCTGAACGATTGTTTAACAATTGCACTGGTCTTTTGTTGTTGTTTTTCCCTTATCTCAACCAGCTAGAACTGAAACCTCAAGGGAGAATGCTGATGAATGCAAGATACTTCCTGGAAATAAGTGGCAAGTGACTTTGTTTCCTAACTGATAGATGTGATTTCTGGTTACATGGGGGAGATGCGGTGTCTTCAAGAAAATGCTAGCACTGAAAGCAGCACTTATGTTATTACTGGTTTATTCATAGGAATCATCATAACGGTTTGAAATAAACACTCCAGGAGAAGCAGTTTCATTATGTGGCAGGGAAGGAGGCTGACTGTTCCTCTGTGATTTGCAAGGCATATTTTTTGGCAGTTTTACCACTAAAAAGTTGAATTTCCTCATTACACTAAGACAGGACAGACATACGAAGCCAGCTCCCTCTGAATACGTCATACGCATACATGTGTGCCTTTACGTAAGGTATACCATGCTTGTTTTATAATGCAGACATCAAGAGTGGGATACCATGCACGGATGAAAATATTTAAGTATATGTGTAAGTTGGGCTTTTAAATCAAGGGCAATCTAGGCGAAACACTAAAAGAACCTAGAGAGTGATTCATCTGATCAAGTGCAGGTGTCTGCTGCCTGGTGAGCTGAGTCATTCGCTAGGCTCCGTTGCCTGCCCCAAGCAGACCTCCAGGGACTTAGCAGCAGCTTAGTCACCCTGAACATGAGACAGCTGCTTTTAGGTGTCCTCGCTGGGAGCTGGATCCCACCAGCAGAGTTTGACGCCCATGCAAAGTGTATTTCCCTTCATCAAAGGAAAGGGGTTGCAATCCGAGTGCTCCATCGCGCTCTCCCGTCTTTGATGCCCAACTTCCCGCGGTCTTTGACGTGGGTTGGAGCTGTAGAAGGAGAGAGTCAGGAAGGGCCTTCCATGTATTGAAACATAGAAGTGCTGAAAGCAGCTAATAGCATGCCCTTATGGGTATTCTCCTCCTCATTTCCCACCTTTGCTGTATAATAGCCTGATGCTGCCTCTTCATATTCTTTAAGACACATGAGAGGCTAATGCATGGAAAATGCTGTGTCTGTATTACAAGTAGGATCAGCATCAGCTGGCGCAGGGGGCCCCTTCCCACAGAATACCTGTGCAACTTGCTTTCATACTTCATACAGACTTTCATGCATGAATAAATCAAGACAGAGATAAAGAGTGAGATGTTACGTGCGTAACTAGAAAGGAGCATATATGTAGGCAGAGTTGTTTTATTTTCTGTCCCAGAAAGTTTAAGAAGTGAACTATGAATAATGTCATGAATGCAGCAAATGGTAAAGCAATTGTTGTAAAGCAATGTAAAGCAATGGAACGATGAAAGAGTGACAAGAAAAAGAATCTCCCAGGAGTATACGTGTAGGTGTACTCACACACACATAAACATGCACACATTAAAAATTCAGCTAAGTACCCACATACATGCATACCTATATTTAAATATATAAGATGCATGTTTGCATGTAACTTATTTTTATGTAGTCCTGTCTTTTTTTAGGGCATAGTTCTTCAGTGCTACAGAAAGTTAGAGTTTTGTATTTAACTGCAAATTATCTCTCATTAGGAAATTTCCGGTCTACATTAAAAAAAAAAAATCATGAATGTTCAAGGGAGCTCAAAGGTCATTTTAGTATCCCTGTAAGAGTGGGGGATACATAAGGTCTGAACAAGCCTTATGTGGGTTTCAGAAAGTGTATTTGATAAAAATACTCACTCCCATCAATACATCAGCTTCAGTCACTTAGTATTTTGGCAGCTGCATTTTCTCAAGGTGCCTGATGAGGACAGGCTGCCCTAACAAACCTTCTGTTTCCTTTCCCCCCAGATGCTAAGGACATAGTTGACTGTGAGACTGAAGGCTTTTTCTCCTTGCACCAGCGGAGGGGAGCCATCAAACAGGCCAAAATCCATAACGTCAAGTGTCATGAGTTCACGGCCACCTTCTTTCCGCAACCCACCTTCTGCTCTGTCTGTCATGAGTTTGTGTGGTAAATGAAAATCGCTCTATGCGTTTTCCCCTTTTAACTCTAAGGACCGACTCTGCTTCTTCAGTGAATATTTGTGTTCCTGCTGTTAGTAAAGGCAGCAGGACTGGACCCTTGGCACGTTACATGTACGAGTAATTACATCACTTCAGGGACCTGATGCAATTTCACAGTTGTAATTCCAACTCTGAAAATTCTCTCCGTTTTTTATTTTCTTTTTGATATATTTTTGTCTTTGGCCAAATGCACCCACACAGTTTGCCATTTTGCTACTGCAAAATTCAAAATGTGAGTATGCGCTGAAAGTGTTGTGAAAACCACAAAGAACCACTCCAAGAGTTGCACTGAATGAAGGTATTTGGATTTGCGAAGCCCTATAAAGACTGATGAAGAAGCAAGGCTGTTCTATTCCATGCTTCTTTCGTAAATGCTGCTTCCCTTTTTTTGTGGAGACTTTCAGAAAATTCAAAACTAACCATTTCTGTGTTTAATTTCAGGGGTCTGAACAAGCAAGGCTATCAATGCAGGCGTAAGACTTTTTTTTTTTGTTCCTTTCATTATTTATTTGGTCCTTTCTTAAGGGATTCCTTTTATTAACACCGTGACACACTTGTTCTTTCAGAATGCAATGCTGCCATTCATAAGAAGTGCATTGATAAAGTAATAGCCAAGTGTACAGGATCAGCAGTCAATAGCAGAGAAACAATGGTACGTATTGTTACTTGGTTGCTTTTAAAACACTTGAGTGCTATTCAGGTCTCTCCTACACTGATGTAAAACAAGGGAGATTTGATGAAGTGAAGGGCAATAGTGAGCTAAAAGCTGTATGATCAGATCTGCATCCTTTCTTCTTTACATTCCCAGTAGTTTTCGTTACCTCCTACCTGTGATTTCCTCAAATACAGTCATTGAATTAGCAGTCTTTGAATCAAGACTGACATTTTTCTAATGCATAGAATATAGCTCAGAGGGAAATCATGGACGTGAGGTGAAGAATTCTTAGAGAAAATTCTTAGCTATCCAGTGCCAGGCAGGATGTCACACTAAATTTTCAGAGCAGTACTTTAAAAACCCACCCTGTGCTCTCTGAGATCTGCAAACAATCAGTGGAAGGTCTAGCATCTCCACTATCATTTATTTTATTTTTCTCATAGCAGTTTATAAGGAACCTTCTTTTTTAGTGGGCAAAAGTGGAATTTAAACTGTTGGCATGACTATTACTTTTTTTGTTAATTATGTCCCATAGCTTCTATTTGTTCCCAGTCACACCTTGCCTCCTACTCACCTTTTACAGTCTTTAGAGATGACATTAATCTCACAGGTATTCAGATACCTCTAGTGTAGATGAATCCTGCCTTGTCATCACCTTTGACTCCCTACATACTGAAGGAAGAAAAATAGGCGCTTCCAGGAAGTGATTCATGACAATGAACGTAGACATTCATTTCAGGATGAGATGAATCATTCTTTAGAAGTACCTGTGTTTTTCCATTGAGCGTTAAGGGAGCCTGGTTGAGTAGCTGAGATGCAGACATCTACATCTGATCAAATAAATAAAACCCAGAGATTAAATTACCCAGTTGCCACTGAATTGCACAGATACTTCTTAGCAAAATTTATCCTTGTATATCTGAATGTTGTAGATAGTTTCTTCTTGAAGATCAAACCCCAAACCAAAGCTGAAAGACTGGCTTAGACCCCCCATCTTCTGGTGTACAGACTTAGCTTTTCATGTTGGCTTTTCATGCAGTGCTGAGGCGGAGAGGAGTGAATTGCTAACACAGCGCTTCTCTTGCAGTTCCACAAAGAGCGGTTCAAAATCGACATGCCTCACCGCTTCAAAGTCTACAACTACAAGAGCCCGACTTTCTGCGAGCACTGTGGCACACTCCTCTGGGGCCTCGCACGGCAAGGGTTAAAGTGTGATGGTAAGTCCCTGGTCTACGAGGTACGGGCTGAGAGTGGAAGTGGGCTGTCATCATCAGAGGGTTGCGATCTGAAGAGCCAAATCCCATTTATCACATTTCTCTGTGAGGCCCCATATCAAATGGCACCACGAGGTGCTGAAGGAGAGGTCAAGAGGACTGTCCTTCAAGGAGGACCACTGTGGGCATATGGAAGGGTATGTGGCCCATGGTGTTTGAAGAATCACTTCCAGAAAGGCAAAGGAACGTCTCAGTGCCCACATCTCTCCCCTCTCTTCCAAAATCTTTCCTATTACCAGCCTTCATACTCCATTTCTGCTAACAGACAGGCTGAGTACACATCATTGTCTTCATGATCCTCCACCTAGGGTGAGATCCTCTGCTGTGAATGTAGTTGTGTCTGAGCTGATTGATTGTAGAGCTTCAGTAACGTGTAGTTACAAAGGCTGAGGGATATGGAAATAAAACCTTTGCCCAGAGGCAGACACAGAACAAAACTTATCTGCGTGGAGCAACCAAAAAGCAGCCTGAGTGCAGTCTAATGAGACATAAAAGTTGTCCATGCTTTGCGCAATTTACATGGTTGATCTCCACCCTTGGCTGACAACAGCACATGTTTCTGCCTGACCTGATGTCACACCCTTTACAGCGCAGCTGTCCTGTGTTGTCCTGATGCCTCCATCCTTTCTTTCAGCATGCAGCATGAATGTCCATCACAAGTGCCAAACAAAAGTAGCAAACCTTTGTGGAGTTAACCAGAAACTAATGGCTGAAGCCCTGGCAATGATTGAGAGTACTCAACAGGTAAGTGCATCAAGCTGTGAGTTACCTGGACAAAGAAAGATCAAGTGTTCAATGTTTGTTCCAGTGCAAGAACTAAGGGCATGGGGTGGAGCACAGAGGGTAGCAAGTTCAAAACAAAGAGGAGGCAATTGGTCCTTCGTTGATCGTTGATCGTGTAGCTGAACTCATCTCAGCACATCGTGGAGGCTAAAAGTTTATATGGGTTCAAGTGACAACCTCTGACGTTCATGGAAGAAAAGTCCATTCAAGGCTCTTAATAGAAAAGCACTGCCTTTGAATCAGGAAATCTCTGAGCCACATATCGCTGGAGAATGGGAGAATATTCTGAGGAATTGGCCTTGCATGCCTGTGTTCTCCTTGTATCTTCACTAGGTGTCTGCTTGACCCCCGTCACAGACAGGTTGTTATCTAGATGGACTCTCGTTCTGATTCAGTACAGTTGTTCTTACCTTATGTTCACAGTTTAAATTGTGTAGCAATTAGACAGAAACGGAGGAACTAGGTTTTAGCCCTTATGCTGTCACTAGCTTCCTTGGGGGCTGTCACTTTGAAGTTTCTCCTGTGGCTCTCTGATCTGTTTGCAGTGAAGCTCCCTAGAACACAGACTCTCATGTAACAGATTTGGGCCTTGGGGAGAGGATCTAAGTACTACTCTCATATAAGTAAAAAACATAGCAAATTGAATTACGAAGAAGGAAAAATAGCCCGTTACAGGCCCGAAACCATGGAAGAATTCTTGTTCAAAATTGTGAGTGTTAGGATGCCTCTCAGCTCTTAACCTTAGAGACGCACAAAATCCAGAGGTGCCCAGTCTTCCATGTTTAAGTTCCTCAGGTACCCCAAGGCAACATCTTCATCCACTCAGTAGATGTTCTTCTATCTGTACGTTCCTGAGGGAGTATCTAGCAGGTTTAGCTCTGCATACTTCTCGTCTTAAAAAGTAGTGCTGGCAGAACTCCAAAGAGTTTTTCCTACACCTTGCTTCTCTTTTTCCAGCTTGCTGGCTCTGTACAGCTCTTTGCTCTGGGTAGTGGTTCCTTTGGGTCACCACTGTGAGGTGAGGAGGGCAAACTTTACCCTAGACGCTCTTTTAACCTACAGTAAGTTAGGCCTTGGGAACTCCTTGAGCCATAGGTGAAGTCCTTGTGTTTAGTAGCCCTCAGTAGATTTCTCTTCCATGCTTTTGTCTCATCATGCTTGAAACCAGATAAACTATTACCCTCCACAACATCCTGGGACAAGGAATTCCTCAGAGTCACATCCAGACAGCGCACAGGAGTGAGACTGCAGCACGTTCCAGCCTCTAGTACTTTTCCAGCTTTCACTTCCAAGACAGCTAGTAGGAAAGAAGATGTTAATTAAAATGTACTTTGTGTGGATAACCAGGGACTTGTGAAACAGGGGAGGTGCAGCTTGACTCTGCAGACTCCTGTTCACATCCCCGTATGACTCATAAGAAGCCTCTCTGCCTCACTGAAGACTCTTGAGTTCCTCTAGGGTTACAGACCCCTGAACGTTAGATACAGAGATGGTCTTCTCATAAGTCAAGACTTCTAGATCTGGGCATCGGACAGACCCAGAAGAGGCAGCATCGTCCGTAAGCATGTTTGGCTCGAAAGTGATTCACTGTTTTCTATGATCCAGGCTCGTTGTCAGCGTGACACTGAACAGATCTCCAGGGATGGACCTCTTGAAATTGGCTTCCCGGTTCTTGTGAAGGAGGTAACGCAGCTTCAGGCAGTGCCAGCATCTACAACAGGAAAAAAAGGTAGTTTTGCCTAGTGATATGGGACAGCAAGCTTTGTTAATTTTTTGGTTTTAGGTGGAGGTGACAAGGATAGGGAATTTATGAATCTTTCATACATCTTTCCAGTCTAGAACAAGACATATCCCTTTTTATCCCAGGACATCTGGAGATCTTCCTAGACACGTCACTCGGGGACAGCAGATACCCCAGGTGTCAGCCCAGCTCCTTTCTTCTGCATAGACCTGCACTTCCCTCTGGTGACGTGAGGCACCAACCACCACTTATCCAACTAATACAGTCTTACCCTAGAATCTCTTTCTGATCCAGTACCTCAGCACACCTTGTACCTCTACTGGCAATAATGTCCTTATTTCTCTCCTGGGATTTTCAGCCTATAATTTTTGGTAACTTTAAGGGGCAATCAAGCTCAAAATGGGAGGCTGGGAGTCTTTCTGATCACCGCTGTCTCAATTCCCTTTCTGATTTCAGATTGTTGGGTGGGGGTTCACACCATGGCTCAGTGCTAATTCAAGCGCTGGTTTCAATAGTGAATCTAAACCTGTAGACCCTTTCCTTCGTTAGAGACACAAACTCATCATGTAATTCTTAATTTTTCTATAATCAGAATAATTGGTTATGTCATTACTAGGCTTTTGAGGGCATAATTTTTGTACTTCTACATACATTTTCTGCTGACAGTGCTTCTCTGCTATCCATTGGTGTCCTTGTGCAAGTTCAGCTTCATAATTTTGCTTTCAAGGATTCTTCCCTATTTTCTTCTCCCCTCTTTTCCTCTCCAGTTGTATTTGTATGTAGAATTATGAATATCCCTGCAGGTAACAGTGGCTGATGCACTGAGTACATTAGAAGCATGTCCAACTGCCCTGTAGCATATAGTGTGCACATTTGAACACACAGTCCGTTTAAAAGGGAGAAGTCTCTCAAAGGCATAAATAGCATCCCATGCCTTTGAAAATCATCAGCAGATCCCTACATCACTCACTCAAGGATTGACCTAGGTGTCAGCACCCTCTGTGCTACAAGAGCGGAGGTTCAGGAAAGTGAGTGAGGGATTGAGGTGTGAAAAATAGTCTTTACTGTCCCATCTGTTCCAACATTAGTTTTGCCAAAGCTCTTGAAGCAGCCTTAGGGACACTGGGACCGCTCATAATGACAGCTATCAAGAAGGACTGAAGAACACAGACGGTCAGAAATGAGGGATTTCGTCCTGTTTTGCTGCCGTGAAACAAAATGACAGAGTTTGTAAAGTGGGAGTAATGCCACTAAAGAAGGTGGAGCTACACTGGAGTAAAATTTCCTCTGGAAAGAAGGCAATGTGGGAGCAGAGGCCGCTAGATGTGGCCACCACATTTCCATTCGTGTGAAAAGACATTTTTAAATCTTAAGCAAAATACTTGTATGTGTTCTAGGGATTTTTCTCATTTCCATGGGTCTATTTTCAGTGCGTTGATGTATGTTGCAGAACCACAGGGCATCTCCTGGGAGACTCCAGTGGAGGGCACAACAAAGGGAGAGTCTCTAATAGAGCCAGACTCGGGAGGAGAACAGCCTCAGGAGCAGCAAGGGCAGCAAGTGCAGCTAAAATTAACCATTGAAGATTTTGTCCTGCACAAGATGCTGGGGAAGGGAAGTTTTGGCAAGGTAAGCAACAGGGGGCTAGGATGCCACTGCATAGGTGCACGTCACCTGTTACGGGGCAGAAACACGTCATTTATGAGTTATTGACTTGCTAAAAGTCAATTTGGTGGTCTTGACTCGCTAAAGGTTTAACACTGCTCTTCTCTTCCCAACCTCAAACGAAACACAGGCTGAACAGCATTGAATAGCATGAGGTCTGGAGGTCACTTTGGAATAAGATCCCTTGACTGTCAGAGAACCCTTGTTCTTGCAGGGATCGGTCTTGAACCCAGTCCTGTCCTTGCATAAGACAAAGATCCTCCTTGTCCTTCCGTCTGCCCAGTTAGCTGCTGTGTCATAAGTGCCCGTGACAGGAGGGGAAAGAGCTGACGCTACTACTTCCCCTTTTGTGCAGGTCACTGTGGCCCGGGCAGCTGCCGGAAGCTGGTGGGAAAGATCTCTGTGCTGTCCTCCCCCGTGCAGCCACACCAGCCAGCATCACTGAGCAAGCTCCCAAAGAGGCAGAAGCATAGCCAAAAAGCCTAGTGCAGATCACCTCCCCTCTCTCCAGGGCAGCAGGGCCCAGTTGGGAACACTGGACTGTTCTTTCCCAGCTCTGATCCATGCTGGAACATAAAGCTAATTTTACAATAGCCCAGAATTTGTGCTTTTGAAACAAGAACCACATATTTTCAGTGGATTCATTAATGTTGATGAACGGTTGGTTGTTCCTTCCTCTTGCAGACGTCCCCTGGAAGGGGACTGTTATTCAGTGCCAGTGCAGAGCTATATTTCAGAGGAAATCACCGTTGTGTTTTTATAGTCAGGAAGGAGTGTGTGTTCGTTATGCATTTGCTGCTTTGGCTTTCCACTTGAAAACACTTGGTATGCCTACACTCTACATGGGAAGCAGAGCTGAGCTCGGACACCTGAGCTGGGCTAACCCAGAATACCCCAAACTCCACAGCCCTGACTAAACCAGACTCAAGAACATGAATGCCGTACAATCATGGACAGATATGGTTTGGAAGAGACCTCTGGAGGTCCTCTAGTCCAACTTCCTACTCAGAACAGCTCGGGGGTTGTCTAGTTGAGTCTTGAACACCTCCAAGGATGGAGATTCTGTACCTTGCTTCAGGCCCCTGTGGACTCTCCAAGAGAGACTCTCCAAGCTCGCATGCCTCTGCACTTCTCTGCAGTGCACCATCAGATGTGATAAGGATGGTTTTAGTTCGTGCCCTTTTGCAGAAAACCTCACCCACAAGTTTCCTGTGTAGGTTTCCCTCCTGGTGTTCTCATTTCCTTGGAGTGAGATTCACTTCCTCATAGAGAGGTGGCAAGGTGTTCAGCTCTCCACGCCTGAGGGATCTCCGCAGCTCTGCACAAACAGTGAGGTTCAGGGTCAGACCTGTGAGGTATAGCTTTTCCTACCTGTGCCTTGTTCCAAGGGCACAGAACAAGTCACACGTGTTTCATTCCCCCATTTCACCAGGAGAGCAGTGCCCACACAGAAACGGGGTTACCAAAGGGTCCCTGCAGCATCAGCAGTGTTGCCATTTCTGGTCATTCACCGCAGAGACAGAGGGAGGCTTTAGGCTCAGTCTAGTGCTGTGGAGTGAAATACAGCAATAGCCAGAAGGATAGATAAAGCTTTTGTCAGGGTTACAACATGTCTGAACTTACTCAGTAAATAGTGTCTGGTAAAGAACTTCAAAGTCCTCTTTGATGAGTCTTATATATTTGTTCAGTCTACGGGAATGAGTGTCGAGAGACTGTTAGAGTAAAGATGAGGACTGCGTTTCAGCACAGAAACTGCTTTACTTTAAGGCCTCGAGCAAATCCTGTGCTGCTCTTTGCCTCAGTTTCCCTGCTTGTAAAAATAGATGGCAGTAGTCCTAGCTCCTCTGGGACATGGTTTATTAATGCTTGAAATGTGTTTCGCTCTCCTCGGAGAAAATGTCCTGTGGAAACACAGGGAACCAAAGCTGTCTTTTCGGGCCTCTCGTTAACTGGGAGGGAGGGAGGAAGTCACATCTGATGTGAGTGAGTCTAATTACTGACGGACATCAGTTTACACCTGCTGAGGATCTGGTGCAGGGTATTTACATGGTGTTAACAAAACAATATTCTATGATTTGTTATTTAAAGTCAGAAAACAGGAAGTGTTTCTTATGAGTGTTTGCATTAAAATGGTTTCTGTTGTCAGAAGCGTCTGGCTCTCTGACATGTTCTGTCCATGGGGCATGTGACACCTGCTGTCATAATTGCCAAACCCTTCTCATCTCTTCCTGCGTTTAGCTTCATAACACTATTCTGGGTGTGGAGAAAAAACTCAAAATTTTCTGCTCCGTGCTGTGTTTCAGCCCATCTTGCTCTGCTCCCAAACTCTCATAGCTGTGTACCCAGCCTGAGAGAAGAGCATTGGTCTTTCTGAGCAGTAGTTTCCATCCTAGGTGTTCCTCGCTGAGCTGAAGAACACAGACCAGTACTTCGCTGTGAAAGCCCTGAAGAAGGACGTGGTGCTGATGGATGATGATGTTGAATGTACGATGGTGGAGAAGAGAGTGCTCTCCTTAGCTTGGGAGCACCCATTCCTGACTCACGTCTTCTGTACGTTCCAGACCAAGGTAAGAGGAGGTGCTGTCTGCTCCCTACGTGGGCCAGTGTGCTGAGACTGTGCTTAAGTCTGCCAAGTCTGAGGGAATAGCTTTGAGGTGAAGTGATGCTAAGGGAAGTGTTATTCAGGTGGCCCCAGAAATTTCATCTGCCCTCCCCACATTCATGTGGAGGGGCAATTTGACAAGAATGGTATCCAAGACTGAATAAGGCAGCTATGCAGAGAGCCGCTATTAAAATCAGAGGCCTGATGCCCCAGGCCAAGGATGTACAAAGGCCACATCCACAGCCAGGATGCAAATGTGCCCGCACCAGTGCTATGCAGACCTCTTGGGCCATGAAGCAGCGTTATACTGCAATAACTAGGCTGGATCATAGTGAACTCGAGGAACTCTGGTCAGTGCCTTGTTACCATGCTTGTTACCATTCCTTTGGGGAATCTTTGCCCCCAGCTGAACTGTTGAATTACATCAGACTCTTCCTAATTCTGGCAATGAGGGCTGCAGTCCACAGGAGCAGTACAAAACATCTTCACCTGAAATCCCTCTTAAGAGTCCAAATCAAAATTAAAGTGGCATTTAAGTAATGTTTAAATCTATCTGGCCCTAGTGGCCATAAACTATGGACCGATTCACTTTTCAGATACTTTCCTATAGCCGCAGCCAATCTTCTTAACACCAGAACACATGCACAGACATTAAAAAAAAAAGGGGGGGGGGATGAAAGGATGGACATATTTGGAGAGATTGTCTGGTCTGTCTCTCTGTTCCAACTGACCCAAACCATTCCTGAGAGATGTTTGGTATCCCAGAACTCAAGTTTATACTAACATCGCTTTTGTTAGACTGCTTGTTCGGGGCTTTTTTGAGGAGGCTCCCAGTCCCTGCTCAGTTCCAGGATTTAATGACACAAAACACTGCTTATTATGAGGTTAGCACCTGCTCAGCAAGAGAGCTTGTGTCTTCTGCAGGGTCATGAGAAACCAATATAGCCTCTGCTGTTTGCCCCAGTAGTCTGTGAGACAGGGCACCTGTTTAAAGACGGGGGATTAAATTTATGCCGGAGAATGTCTGGGAACTGCTCTAGGCAGTGTGATAGTGAGCCCAGGCATTAGTGTTTAACCCTTCTGGGACTGTCGGTGAGAAGGACAGCACATGCCAGGAATGGATCCTTGCCCAGAGGAAAGGAATTAATTCCTTTCTTTGGTAGATTTTAGAGTAAAATATAAATGACCTGACTCCAAAAGCATAGAAAATCAAGACTTTAATTAAAAAGACAAAGTATTTATAGCAGTCACAGCTCTATGAGGGGGCTTATTCTCCAAGGAGAGCTGATTGTGTTGCGCGTAACTCCAGATGCCCGAGTGGAGGCTGGCTAGTGCCGGCAGCTGGCGCACCACCCTTGCGTGCAGCAACGTGCTATGGTCCAGCCCAGTTCAACCTGCGTCTGGAAGCTGGAGGTCAAGTTTGGGATTTTGCCAGTCAACATGGATGCAGCAGTGGCAGTCTACAGCTCTGCTTTCAGGCCATGCATGCATACAAGTGTCCACTTCCCTTGGGAGAGCACAGCAGAAAAGGTGACAGACCAGAGTCGTGCCATGAGCCAGATGTGCTTTACTGATCATTTTGAAGAGACTATGCTTCCAGCTGTGGCTGAGACGAGCAAACCCTGCAGGGTGGAACAGAAATGAGTGCCTGAAAAACTCGTAGGTGCCAGATTAAAACACCCGAGGCATCTTTTCCTGCTCCGTCTTCTGGGCAATGTCAAGGTATTGCCCTCTTGTCATATAGGAAAAATCTCCATCCATCTCCTCCCAAGCCAATGTTGTCATATTAAAGTTATTATTTGGTCACTCAATTGTGCCCCCCAGGTCACAAATACAGAAGCTGGCGTGTGTCTATCCAGGCCAAAGATGCTCTGGGCTATGATTGATTTCTAGCTTATGATTTTCTCCTCTGACCTTTGCAAGGCAGGCGGTGATCACTCAACACATACAAGTCGTTCGGAGCAGGGCAGCTGTGACAAGCCATGGACAGTCTTTCACAGCTCAGCGAAGAGCATGGTTCAACCGTAATATCTTTTGGAGTAATCATTTTAGAAGCCAGTCCCTCTCTGGGCTTTAATATTGGAAAGGTGTGTGGGTTGTAGGGTTTTATTTCTTTGGTTTTACTGGAAGAGTAAGTACTTTCAAACAGAAATATATGTGTCAGTGCCTTTCTGAATCCCTGATGCTTTGGCCTGCAAAGTTTCTGAGCCGCCTCAGGTGCTAGGACCTCTGTAAAGGACAGCAGAAATGGGAATGTTCCTACAGTGAAACAAGAACCTAAGCGCTTCCGCGTGTCTCCAGAGAGAAAAGTCATCTAATCTGCTGACAGTGCTGTAAGCTGTGGATTGAGCTTCTCCCTGGCCTCAACCCAGATAATCAGCGAATGCTCAAATAGATAAAGCTTGACAGCCCTCAGACAGGTTTTCGTAGACACCTGGCACCTAGTGCTCCTTTTTATTCTTGGGAAGGCCGAGTGATCGCTACTTTCGAAACTCGGAACACTTGTCATGGTTTGCTACGTTAGAATAAAGTCAAATGCACAGGTTTTCTTTTCCAAATCCGGTTTTGAATTTGACTCTTCTATTTTACTGCAGTAATCCTTGCGTCCGGATATTCAACTGACACAGTTATATGGTGTGAATTTTAAAAACAAGCACAAAAAGCGGTTCTGTTTTATTAGATGTAAAGGGACATTGTTATGTTAAAAAGAAGGAAAAAGATGTTTGTAGTTCTGTGAAATCCTGACATTGGTAATGCCCAGAGTGACTAGCTTTTGAATGCTTGTGTTTTATTTTTCTTTTTACATTTCACTGATCTTCTGTGATAAAAGTAGGCTTTGTCTTTTTGAAAGTCACTTTTGTTTCTAACTGTTTGCTTACTTCATTGACCAGGTTCTTATTCATGCCCTTTACGCAAATGCAAATTAAGTTCTTAGGCTTTTTGGCTTTTAGCACAAAATAGCAACACAGAAGACTGTCTTAACACAGAACAGAAGTAATCTTTATTGTAGTTTAAAAGCAAGTGTTATAGAAACATTTCTTTTCTGCTATACTAGCATATTATGTCTTTTCAAAGTGCTGGTGGTGGGCCATTTTCCTATGCTCTGTTGTTTTAATGTGCTTTATATTGACTTTAAAATCTCTTACATTGGCAGAAGGGAGAAAAGAGTTGTAAATCAGACCGGGATCTTAATTTAAAAATTCTTGGACCCTTATCCTCTGCAGTGTTTTCCATGAGTATTTCAGGGGAATTTCTCATCAAAATATCTCCTCAGGGTGAAATTGTAATGCCTGCAAAATTTTCCAGGAGCAATTTCATTTTTCTCGTATCTCTGTCTTGCCATTAGCGGAACGGGGCTGAATTATTTCACCTCAATCACTGCATGTCGGTTTGGCCCAGGCGTGTTTCACACCCGTTTGATGTTCAGCTGTTTTTCCTGGCTGTGCCTCAGACCCTCCAAGGAGCCGTGGCTCGAGCCCACTTGCTCCTCCATGCAGAGTCCTTTGACTGCGTCATGGCCGTGGGACCACAGATTCATTGCAGGAGAAGTCCTCCTACAGGGAGGTAGAATTGCAAGCGGTGACACCACTGAAGCACTGAAACACAACGAAATGTTGGACTGACTTAACAAAACACTGTGTGCTGTTCACAAGCTGAGGTGTCCTGTGAGGTCAAACCAAATGTCCTCCTAGCCAGCATCCTATTTTTGGTGTTCCCCAAGCAGGTTTGCTAAAGAAGAGGGTACCAGGCAATGCGGAGTGTTTTTTTCCCTTGCAGGAGAAAGGGACTGTCCCAGGTCTTGGCATTCAACAATGCAGGAGGTTATAAGACCTCGAAGCTTCCAGTTTCTGGGTCTCCATCCTCCTCATCTCTTGTTGGAGACAAATTGCCCTGGAAACCTCTCATTCAGGGCTTGTGGGCCAAGTTTGAGCTGGTCTGAGGGGAAAGCTAGGGGAGAAATGGGAAGTTTAGGGAGGCTTTGAGGATCTTGGCTTCCTCTTGCAACTAGCAGACAGGAGAACTGGCAAGTGTTGTTCAGTCCTGGCCCGTATTTCAATACAGCTCGGTAGAAATAGCGGCGTCTCAGCAGAGCTTGGGGATTTCAGCAACGTTCTGCCAGAGGACTTGTGAGCAACTGTGGTTATAACATGAAAAATGTAAAGTCTTTAAAAAATGCTTATGAGGTGGTGTCAGCCCATGTGGTGTGAGCATGTGGAGCATCCTGGCAAGGAAAAGAGGGGGCCAGCTCACAACAGGGGTTTTTAAAGTGACAGACTGTTGACTTGGATGGCATATTAAATACATGTATTTCCACTGCCTACCCATTGCCCAGCTCTGAGGAATATCTGCCCAAAATGTATTCAGTTTAGACTGGGATTTCTAAAAAGCTGCAGTGTAGCTGCTATGATATTTGTCTCCCCAAAAGAGCTGTCTTTTCAAAGTAAAAACATTACTTTTTTCTCCATTTTTCTGTTGATAATTTATTTAGGTTTCATGAATTTGACTACTTTTTATTTAGTTTTTGATTTGGGGATTTTTTTGTATGGGTTTATTTTTTCCCCATCCCACAATTTTCAGAGATTTTTTCATCCAGCCTTAGGAGAATTAGTCTCTTGCCAAGATTCCCCCCAGTATTAACAGGTGAATCCACTTTGTCTTGCAGGACAGGGGTGATAGTACCTCAGCCTGCAGGGCCCAGCTTTACCACTGCAAGTGATATGCTCTGCCTGCTCTGAGCTGTGAGGAAAGGTGCTAGGAGACCAAAATTCAAGCCAGAGTGATTACCAGCCATGTCAGCACTTTAATATACATATGCATATATACATATATATGCACACATATATGTGTGTATATTTAAATGCACGTGCATGCATATATGTGTTTATTCATATGCTTTACACCAGGTAGGTGGGCCCACAAAGCTAAGCATACCAAATTAATGGTTTAATATTCAGTCAAAGATGCTGACAGTGTGAAGATTAGAATGAAAATTAAGTCATAAGATCGGGGACTGGAGCACATTGGCTGGCAGCTGTAAGAAATGCTGCCATCTCTAGCAGATAGCTTGCTATTACACAAGGTGGAGAAAAGTTTTCTAGAGCAAAGAAAAAAATTAAACCATTTCTTGCTCTAATCTGTAACAAATTGGCTTTGCTTTTCCCCAGATGATGCAAACAGCATTGTCAGTACCTCCTGTGGTCACCTGCTAGGAGGTGTGCAGCAGTAACTGCGTTAGCTGTCCCTCGTGGGAGCAGATGCAGTGCAGCGCACGTGCATTAATTTCTTTCCCAGTGGATGGGATTGCGACAGTGTGTTGCAACATTCACTTGGTGGTATGGTGGAGAAGGGCTGGGAGGCTTTTGGTTACCATCTATCCTAAGGCTGAGGTCTGGATGAGCATCCCGACTGTTGAATGGTTAGCATGCTCCTTGGCATGATTTTAGCCTGTAATAACTCGCACGCTCCTGCTCAGGCACAGTTCAGCGGTAGCATGGGCTGGGGACTGTTACTAGTCCGCAGTTTGGACACGACTGTTAAATCCTGAAGACTTAGCCTTTGGGTGCAAGACCCTCTTCTCTGCAGCGCAGCATCACAACCCGGCAGAGCCGGGCTTAGCTGTGGGAAAGTGTGAGACAAGAATCAGCTGTGAGAATTGCATAGCGTCAAACCTTTCTCTTAGCAAGGACCAATCTAATTCAACGGGCAAGCAGCAGAGTTCAGTCGCTTTGTCTGGACTGAGGAGCCTTCTCCACATGGAGCCATTTGCTAGGATAACTGCTCTAATCAGGGTAATGCTGCACAGTCCTGCAGCATTAATTGTTCCAATATTCATGTCTCAGAAGCCCTGGGAAGGAGAATTTTGCTCTCCAGTAAATGGGTTTAAATTGTATATTTGTATATAGGCAAATGCTTTCAAATGCATAGAAAACAGAACCTTAAAATCTCTGCAGAAAAGTACTCTGGAGGGCTTCCAGCTGGGTCAAGGGTTTTAAGAGCCTGTAATAGGATGTACCTTCAAAAGACCAATTTAAATGCTGCTTGCTTTATATTCATTGTTTATAAAGTCAAAAGCATCCCTGATGGTGACTATTCATTCTCACAGAAGTTGCATGCAGAACAGAAGCAGGTTGGTTTAACTCCTTCCCTGCCATGTGCTGGAGAGGTAGAGAGAGCACTTGGCTCCGCAGAGAGGATATCAGCTCAGCATGGGCACCGAGGGACTGATGGGACAAGAAACTGAGTTATTGCTAAAATCCAGTGTTTCAGCACCTGGTGGGACTGAGCCAAGCAGGGCACCACTGAGCCAAGCAGGGCACCATGTTATTTTGAATGCTGGTTGCACTCCCGCATGAGCCTATGTGTTGTACAGCACCATATAGGAACAGTGCTTAGTCCTCCCACAACGGGGTCGATCCTGTTCCCTCTGCTGCGATGGGGATGGGCCCTGGAAGATGATCTAGAAGCGGGAACTGGCCCACTGAACAGCATCCCATATTGATGTTCCTGAGACAATATCAGCTATCCTGGGGCAGTTCCCGAGGCAGAGTGTAGGAGCTGCCTCCAATCCTTGAACTCTGTGGTTGTAAAGGATGGCCCCAAACTGTGCCTTAAGACCAGGCTTGCTTATCTTCTGTCGTGCGAGTCTGGAGCCACGACCAGAAGTTTGGCTTGGCTATTTGCTACCGAAGGACACTCTAATGGCAGGAGGTCTGCAAGCTGACCACGGTTTGTTTGCAAGACAGATGTGTGGGAGAAAGGTGAGAGGCTCTTCCAAAGCCTCTTTCAGAGCTGTATAGATGCCACTGCTGAGGGATAGCATTCATGCTTGCTTGCTTAGTACCCTGACCTGTGGCCACTGCAGAGTTAAGAGCATGCTATTGTTATTAAGCCATATCAAGTGCCATCCCAGTCGCCACTTCTTGAGAAATACCTGCTCTACCCACTGCCATCTGCTCTAGGAGCTGACAGACCTCAGAGCCTTGCAATATCAGACACTTGAGAAGGAGACATCAGATAGCTTTCCCAGGACAAGAGGAAGCGTAGCTCAGAGCCTGTCTGAGAACACGTCCTCCGTGCCATTCTAACCCTTTAACCTCTAGCACGCTGTCGAATTTTCAGTGGTTTCAAGAACAGGTTTTGCTGCTTCTCTTTTGAAGGTATTCTGTAGCGCCGTAGATCTTGGGCTTAGGAAGTTGTCTCCAGTAATTGGTTGTAGTTTCCACTGCTTGATTACATCTTGCTACTCGTAATTACCTACTTGGGGCTGATCTCAAGCAATTTATCTCCATGGACCATACCAGACAATTGACCTATATAAAAAGCAGGGGGAACTTCCAATTTCAGAGGAGAAAACTCAGAGTGATGCTGTCTTTCTTTTCAGCAGCATTTATGTACCACTCAGTAGCAGCTGGTAGACAATGAAATCGTGCCTGAGTCAGGTTTGTGGTCTTCAGCTTCATATCTTTCGATAGTTCAGAGACTGAGCTCACATATATATGAGTTCTTTGAATGCCAAAGTTTCTGAGAGGTTTCAGCTTTTTCTTTCCTGAGATGGCAGAAAGACGCTATCAGAGCCCTCAGTTCAATTAGATGGGTGCACTAGGCCATTGCTCAAATCCGTGAGCAAGCAGAGCGTGATTGCATCGTCTGCTGAATAAACTGGGAGGGGCTTCAGTTTACACAAGAGAAGTGGTAAGTTGTAGCCAAATTCAGTAGGCTTCCCGGGGAACGCAGGGGTTTTCTCCTTCCCAGCCTACTAAATCTGAACCTACTGCGTTTGAAGACCCAGGAGATTTTGCCTGTTCCGGTCCAATAGATGCAGCTGCTGCTGTTCCCACTTGCAGGTCCTGCCAGTAGCAAAACTGAGCACATATTCCAAAGATGTAGATGCACACACGAAAGTGGTGTTTAGGCAGGGGCTGGCTCAGACGAGCATACTGACCACCAACCTGCTTACACGTGACCAGCGTCTTTTACACCCCCTGCCCCATTTTCCCATGCTTATTTTTGCCCTATTCACGTGGACCCCTCCCTTTCTCCACCCTTTTCTCTTCCCAGTTAACCAACTCATTGGCCCTGTTTTACAACATCAGAACCAAATTTGGGTATTTCTGATAGCATTACCTAGGTCATCTTGGCCTTGCATGATATTTACTGATGTGTTTAGGCAGCTGCTATTGCCTTGCATCATTGCACTCCCCAAAACGTCCCCAATATTCCCCTCAGCTGTCTGTGAAGCTCACCCATCTCTCACATCTCAGATGGTTAAGCTCCCACTTAGCCATCTGAGAAACTCAGCTGTCTCTCAAAATGTTGCCTGTAACTTTTGCCATCTTCTCACACTGTTATTTGCCATGTTCAGCAATATCTCATGTATCCAGTAATTTCTCATGGTCTGTTTTTAGCTAAATCTGTGTGTTTTAACAACAAGCATCTGCTCAAGTGCTTTCCTAAACTGGATCCTTAACTCACATTTCTTCTAAGATTTGTGCATGTGTATCTTAAATTGCCCAAGTCCATTTGGCCTTCTTAACTTGCTTAAACTGATTCATGTGCATGTATCTCTACAGTTGCAAGACATTCAAACTGGAAAACCGTACCTATTTTATTTATTAGCAAAATTTGTATTCTTTCCCTGGGATGCCAGATCTGGCCCCGTGCTTGTCAGATGACAGATGTGGTTTCCAGCCAGACTTTTATTTAATAAGAGTGCCGTAATGAAAAGGATCTGGCTAAAGAAATTGCACAAATTAGAGCAGACAGCTGTTATTTGAAAAGAATAAACTTTTTTTTTTTTTAATAGCCAGCTTTTGGACTGCTGCCAGAGATGCTTGCATTAGATCTTCGAGATAAAAATCTTCCTTTGAGGGATAAAAATATAAGTGAAAAGAAGTCTCTTTCACAGCAAAATTGTTATGGGAAATAGCTAACAAAGGGAAGATGTTCATAAACTTTAGGATACCCTGAAGCTCTTCAGCTTTAGCGTGGGCCTGGTGGTGAAGTTAGGATTGGCAAAGCAGCAAGGGGATCAATGTGATGTACATCAAGGATTGGAATGGAAATTTGGTGATCTGTTCTCTTTATTCAATGCAGAGGGATTCCTCCACCCCGCTATGTACCAGGAGCTGTTCTACCAGCAGTTCTGGTTCAGGGCAGTGCCTGGGAGAACAGCTAATCGTTGCATGCAGTTGGGAACAAGGACCATATCTTTTTTCAGTCTTCTCTTACATGAAGTACCCAAAGGACATCCAGAAACATGAGTAGTTCATGAATCTTCCCACTAGCAAGTTAAATTCTGCCTCATTTAACAGAGCAGCACCCAGGCTTCAAATCAAGCATGTGCTGAAACAGTTTACTGCATCTGGCTAATATGTCTGGCAACTCATAAGGTCAGACCCATAGGTGTCCCTAAAGACATCCAGCAATGCAGGCACCACCTGGCTAAGAACTGTCCACTGGATGGATAATGCAGTGTGATTGTGACCCAGGAGACCTGGGGTTTACTTCCACTTCTTCCACTAGTCACCTGGGAAGCTTGTTGATCTGTGCTTCTGCTGCGAGGCTTCAGAGTCACTGATCCCCTTCCAGTGCATCCTGAGCTCTGCTGGTAAAAAACGATGGCACCAGAGCATGGTTTTGTAGTGTTTACTCATGCTCCTTACACAAATCAAAGCAGTAAGTGTGAGTGTGAGGTCAGTGAGCAAAGAGCAGAAATAGGAACCAGGGAAAGAAACCACTTTCTTTCCAGAACCCTAGTTGTAATCTTTTCCTTCCTCTTTGTGACTGATTTTTTTCTTTGCAATTTTTCCTCCTCCTTCCTCATCCCTAATTGTCATCTGGTCTCCTTTTCTAGGAAAACCTCTTTTTCGTGATGGAATACCTCAATGGAGGAGATCTCATGTTCCATATCCAGAGCTGTCATAAGTTTGACCTTCCCAGAGCAACGTAAGATGTTACTATTGCCTTTTGGCTTGTAAGTCACATGCATGGCAGAAGCAAAGAGGGCAGCTGGGGACACCAAAGCTCTTAGTATTATCATTCCCCTTCTGCCACTGTCCTGTGGGCATAGCCTTGGGTGAATCACTTCATTTCTTTGTGCCTTGCCCCATCTGCAAAGTGAGGATAATGCTTGTGCCTTACACTGGACATCGGTGTGAAAGCAGAACCACTCTCAAGGCCAGCAGCCTCCAAACAGAACAAAACAAGTGCACAGGAGATCATTACCCCGGCTGAAAGACGGGCTTGGAGCAAGTCACTTCCTCTCTCTGTCCTTTTTCTCCTCCCACGAATGGCTTTTCAGAGCACATCCATGCAGGTGATTTCAATTAGACGTGACCTTGCTTTGCATTCTTGGTCAACCAGGGAAGCTGTTTCTTTTAGGAAGTGTTACAGACGCTACTACACCGACAGCATTGCTTCTGTGTGCAATCTCATCCTTTAGCCTACAAGCCAGGGCTCTCCTTCCAGCCTGTGACCTGGCTCCCTGATTTTGCTCTAGCCACAGGATAGTCCACTGAAGATTTCTTCAAACCTGAGAGCCCAGCTGGTAGAAGTTGTCTCTTAGGTTGCCCTCTTTGCTGGATCAGTTCTTCCAGCATCTGCTGGCAGGAGTGTGGTGCCTGAGAGAGACCGTCCAGAGGTGCTAAGTCTCCAGTAACTGTAAAAAGCCCTGAGCATGACCATTTAGGTGCCCCGTAGATGAGGATCGTGTTAAAGCAACCTATAGGTATCTACTGTGAATAACCTATAGGTAATTTACCTAGGGTTGCTGCAGGGTTGCACTGGTTGGGTCCTCGCTCGGTCCAGAATTGCAGGCCTCAGAAATGACATCATGCACCCCAGCTTTATTACCATTGCAGAAACCCCACAGATGTCTTCTCAGCCATCTCTGGAACCACACATCTTTCTCTTTACAACTCTGGGTAGCCCACAGCTAAGCTGCGGGCCCTGCTCAAAATGAGGTTCCCAGTCCAGTGACGAGAGGCAAAAGCTATTGCTTGGTAGAAGTAATGGAAGGCACACACTTTTTTCCCTCTGAGCTTTGAGGAAAAAATAAAAAAAAAATAAAGCCTATCAAAAGTGCAAAAGGTAAATTTAAATGAAAAAATTAATACACCAACAGAGAATTAAAAATTTATTTAGCTATGATTAAAATAAATAGAGGAATTAGAATAAATTAAAGGTTTTTTTTAAAAATCCTTCTGCGAGGAAAAGGTATTTTAAAAGTCAACATTTAAACCACTACAGGAATTAATTTTTATTTAATAATTAAAACTAAGCCCCTTCATTTCAATCAGTATTTAATGTGAAGATTTTTTTTTTAAGCATTTGCACGTTCAGAATTAAGCTCCCAGGCCAATGCATTGAACACTGGGAGAGCAGACTTTACAGCCCCGGAGGGGTATACGATCCTGTGTTTTCCTTCATTTCTGGACAGAGCACTTTCACTGTTTAGTGGTTCTTCAGCCCCATGCTGATTCTCTGCAGCAGAACACTTTTTTATCCCGTGAGCATAAATGTGTTGAAAACACAGATCTAAGGCTCAAAAAGATTCCACGGAAAGACCACCAAGCATCCAGCAGCTTGTTCACGTCCTGAGTAAAACTTCAAAAGCACATTATAAGTCTGGGCACCAAAGAGAGGTGTTTGACAAGCCATGGAGGTCCCCCAGCCCCGTTCTCCACCTGCCTGTCCGTGGCCAGGACTGCTCAACGGTTTGTGCAGCAGCTACTGAATGTGGCAAATCACAGCTGCTGTTTCGACATCTAAGGCATTAACTGCAATGTCCACTTTGCAGTCTGTCGCATCACTGTAAATCATTAGTTTACACTAAATACGTAAATAAGAGGCACAGACACCACCCACTCTACCTTCCACGCTACATGGACAGTATCTTCTGGGGTAGGCAGTTGGAGCTGGGTTTTTCGCTCCACAGCTGATTTGGAGACATCCTTGGGCACTTAACGGACGTATCCTCAGAGAGAGTTACATATCTAAAAAAAGCAGCTAGCCACATAGTGTGGTTTTTGGAAGCCCTGAAAATGAGTAAGCTCTGAGTCCCAACCATTTCCCAGAGTGGTTTCAGTAGGAGTTAGGCTGCTAGCTGGGTTGCGTGCTTTTGAAAATCTCACATCATCCATCAGTTACATGTAAAATCCAGTTACTCCAAACCTTCTGGAGACTTGATGAGATTTTGGCTCCTGAATCAATGACCAGCCTTGGCAAATGTCACCTCCTCAGGAGTACTGTTAGTTTCGGTATTTTGGGGTCTCATTGAAAAGGTGTGTTGGGAAGCATCTGTTCTAACTTGTGCTTTCTTCACTCAGGTTTTATGCTGCTGAAATCATATGTGGGTTGCAGTTCCTCCATTCCAAAGGGATAATATACAGGTAGTATTACTTTTCAGTGTCTCATGTGCTGAACCTTTTCTGTTTTCCCTGCAAGTATTGATTGTACCTGACAGATTGCTCCTTGGGCATACTTACTGGTATTGCGGTTCTAGGCAGATTTCGTTTTTACAATGTCTGGCTGTTTTATTTTGAAGAGAAAGTGTGGGAAAAAGGCAGTTTTGAGCCGTTCTTAAGAATTCAATCCTGTTTCTGTTGACATCAAAGCAACTCCTTTGATGTTGGGGCATTTACCCTGAGTCATTCACACAGCAGCCAGCATAGGCACCCCATTTAAGCTTTCTGTGCACAAAGGTATATAAGGTCAAGCTAGCTGTGAGAAATTCAGTATGTCTGCTTTGCTAGCTACCCTGGGACAGTGGTGACAAGCTTGAGTAACAAGATCAGGAAGGCACAGGAATATATGTTCATTTTGGGGTTACCAGCAGGCCTGCTGTGCACAGATCCATGGGGAGGTTTCAGGATTCTGGTTAACGTATGGGGTGGGATTCATCTCACCTACCACCATGAACCTGAGCTAGTCACCCCAAGCTGTCTTTGTAGTAAGCAGAGAGAAATGGGATTTTTTACGTAACAGTTCATCAGATCTGCGTTACAGTGAGTCGACTTGTGTCTGAGAAGTGCCCGTTTCTACCAACGGGTGCTAAAGGGAGCCGACGGGGCCTCAGTCAGATGTTGTAGGTAGCTACGCTCAGATGGAGGATTTCTGTCCCAAAGTTGCTGGCATGAACATAATCCATAAGGCCTCAATCCGTCAAACCTTGCAAAGGAAAAATCCCTTACTGTAAAACTGCCTATTCAAAACTTCCACGTGACTTCCCTAGGACCTTCAACGTTAGGCACGGATGCTTCAATCTAACACACAAGGATTGTGTTTCAGACCTGTATAAAAGGAAAGAGGCAAGATGGGAGTGATAGGGGCTGCAGATACCAGACCATGGTCTGCTTTCCGGTGCATGAAATGAGTAACTGAATTTCTGGAGAGCTTAACTCATCTTCTTGGAAAAGTTAGTTACTACATTATAGCCTTTTGTAAAATCAGGGAGCAGACAGATTGTCACAAGCAAATGAAAAAGCTCAGTAAACCAACGATGTTTGCTGAAACTGAAATCAGCTTATTTCAATGTTTGTCACGTAGGATGAGCGCTAGAACAAATACTAGAAGTGAATTGCTTGTTTACCGTCTACTCTCCCATTAAAACTCAAGCTTTGATTCATATAAACCCTCCTGATTATTCATTGTTAGTACTCATGTGGGAGCAGTTTATGGTGTTTATTGACCAGTGATGGTGATTGCATAAACATGAGATCAATATCAATAGCATTAAGCTAAGATGATCTCTGGGGTCTCAGTGAGTCTCTGGCTCTAATCATTATTCTGGATGACTGAAGGGAAATATTTTTGAAAGTGCCCAAATCACTTAACCGTGTCTGTTATTTTTACTCAGAGTTCTTAGAAAAGTCGATTAAAAATAACTGTAGAATATCTGACCGGACTGTTAACACCGCTTTCTGGTTATAACTGACATTTTTATTTGAAACTGCTACACCAGTGGTGTGTAGGAGTTAGTATTTGGTTTCAAGGTGCTGCCATGCGACAGTCTGGGTCAGAGTATGTGCCTCATCAATATGCCCTGTTTCCCCCTGAGGGCATAGAGATCATGGGAGCCTGGAACCATAGCCCTTGTTGGAAAACGTGGGCTAAAATGGGACAGCTGGACATAAAGTAACATGGTGATATGAAGGAATAGCTCACTCCAGGAGTCGGTGTGGCTTTTACTTATATATCAAGCTTTGATAGAGAAGACTGGTAGGATAGCCGGTCCTACTCCTTTTCCCTTTTTTTCACTGAAGACAATGATCATAAGATCAGCTGAGAACTGAGAACCCTCAGTATCTCAGTCACAGATAACTTACACTTAGGAAAGTGAATGGAACTCATTTTTAAAATTACATCCCTTGTGATGTGGTAAAAGTCATGAATCCAGCTGTTCTGCCTCACGCACCCACATTTGGGAATGTTGGCTTAAATTTTCATGAATGGGCCCAGGATTCTTGACAGAAACTTATGCAATCCCTGGAGCCGGTGAGTTTGAGACTCATCAAAATAATGGAAGTGAACTGTAGGTAATGGGTTTGTTTATTTTTCTTCGATATCCCAAATGAATAAAAGCAGTGCTAGCAGCCAGAGATTGATCTCAATGGTATAACCAGAATAAGTCATTCCAACTGGGAACAGTGAGAACATGAGTCTCTGCCACCTTGGTTGCCTCTATATTTCTTTTTGAGCGATGACTCCCACTTTTTCTTTGGCCGTAATCTAGCAGCAAGGAAAAATTGTGCCATGACAGCAGTTTAGTGCGTAGACACCATGAGGTCCTACACTCTGGTCAGGACCTAGCTAAAGTGAGATAGGGAGCTTTTTTCCTGCCATCTTTCCTGCAACTGTAGTCGATCATCTCAGGAGCACTGTGCATTAGAAACGATCTTCTCTGAGGGAGTCAGATGGTCCAAAAAAAAAAAATCCTAAACAGTTGTCACCAGTGGGGTAGGTATATAATAGCCGGCTGGTTAGAACTATTGCCCAAGGTGTGTAAAATGCGTATTGGCTGTGAATCAGTGGAGCTTAGAAAAGACTCGTTGCCTCCTCAGTTGTGGACATAAGCAAATGTTAGGTTAAGGTGCCTTAGAAGCAGAAGCAGTGATTGATATCACCAGTCAGACAGCGTAGGAGCATGGGTGCTCTGAGACACAGGTACTCAAATTCTTCCCACATCTCACGTGAGGTGGAATATAATTGATACAAACATCACCCTGGGTCATTCTTTTAATGAAAAGCAAAACGTTTTGATAAGATATAAAGCACATAACACAGAAGCCATGCCAGCCTCCCTTTTTTTCTGCCTCTTTCTCTCTGTATCCCTATGCTTCTCTCTTCTTTCAGAGATTGCTACCACATAGGGATCTCTCTGTTCTCTGTCAATGGCCATGATTCATCGGCTCACTTACTTTTATTTCCTTCTGTACACGTTTCTTTTTTTTCTCTTTCTCTGGGCTCTTTGCTTCCCTCAGCAGCTCTCAGAGCCTGAAACCCCTGACAACAACTAGACAGATATATGTGAAGTACTTTGTAAATCCCCAGGGTTCAGATAGCACAGCACAGGAGTGAAAAGGGGGTGGATGTTCTGCTGATGTCCAGGGTTGTTCTGACCCTCTGCAAGCCACCCGACGCTAGTGGATCTTTTCCTTTTCCCTCACTGTGGAGCCCACGCTGGGAGAGCTGGCAGCAGCCTCAGAGATGGTCCTGAGACTCACTAGGAATGGGGAAGTGAGTATTAGCCAGCTTAGAGTCGTTCCTGTCCTTCTTGTTCCTCTTCTCCAGGTTTTGTTAGAGCAGAAGCGTCAGCCTGGACAGAGCGCTTTTTAGCTTCACTGTTATGCATCCTGCAAGGACGCTGCTTTTCGCAAATGTCTCACGCAAAATCTTCTCCAGCAAAAAGAGTGCTGGGGGGAGGAGGAAAGGAGGAGAGGGTTATTGAAGTCCAAGAGACAGCAGCTCCTGCTTTAGCTCTCGGCATCCCTCTGTAAATACAATGCATAGGCACTGCACAGATGCAGGGAGCAAATTAAGGACCGTACTCTACTAAACTAGCTTGCGTTGCTCCGTAACGGTTCAAAAGAAGGAAGTTTTCTCTACCTTTTTCTTCCTCCACAGAGACTTGAAGCTAGACAACGTCCTCTTGGACAATGAGGGGCACATCAAAATTGCTGACTTTGGGATGTGTAAGGAGAACATGTTTGGAGATGCGAAGACGAGCACTTTCTGTGGGACTCCTGACTATATTGCTCCTGAGGTAGGCGTGGGGTCCAGGGAGGTCAGCGAACTTCTGTGGCTGAGACAGAGAATGTACGTTAAGAGACGACGGTTGGTCAGCAGTGGTGGAGGGTGGAAAGTGTAATAACCTGCTTTTGAGCAGTTCCAGGCTAGAAACTGGATTTCAGTTTGACTGCTTCAGAGCCCGCCTTGCTGTCTGGCTTTGCACATTTGTGTGGCTAATTTGCCTATTGTGCAAATGGCCCTGGGAAACAAGTGGTGCTGGGCATAACCAAGAAACAAAATACTTAATGGAAATCCAGTCTGCGCCATGGAAGAAGCATCTCCAAGAGGTAGGCCCTGCAATTCGGGAACAGGAACAGTACAAGGAAAGGGAAGCATGTTACTTAGCTAGCTAACAGTAGGCCTCCGTGTCTCTGTTAACCTGTTCAGGCTCCTTTATAGCCGATGGGGTGCTCTGGGTCATCTCATCTCATCCTAATATAGAAAATAGAGAAAGGTGGAACAAAATGCCCACCTGGACCTGATTCTCTCTCCTTATTGATTAAACACCTTTTGAATGGAGAAGGGAGGCAGAGCCCATGATAAGTCTGAGACAGGGCTTTGTCTTCCCTCTGGGATGTGCCGCAGTGCTTGAGCAGGAGTGAAACCAGTGAGCACGGGCTTTCCTCTCATCCAGACGGATTCTTGTCTGGCTGCAAACAGAGCTGGCATCACCCATCGCGGAAGTCCTCCCAGAGCCGAATGAGGCACTGTGCTCTGAAAAGGCTTGGCCATCCGAGGCATAGCCTTAAAACTGAGCACAAGTTTAAAGGTCTATCTAAATAATAACAAAAAAAAAAACTAACAGCTACTTGTAAAGGGGATTGAGATGGTCGGAGACATAATCCTGAAGGAGTTCACACATGCTGATTGTTTCCTCCTGTGGGCCTACGTTGTTTCTTCAGCAACCGGTGGAGATGTGTTGCTATCTGCAAGACAGCTAGGATTGGACCTGCTGACTCTGGGCTCTGCACTACCCTGGGATACCTGCCTCTGCTTTGGCTGTGCAAGGTGCTGGAGCACCTGATGACATGCACCCCAGAGGACATGCCTCCGCAAACTGCCTCCAGCCAAAGGAGGCTCTAAATTTGGAGGCAATATGGTTGTATCAGGGTCAGGTTGTGCTTGAGCTAATGAGGGCAAGGCAGAGCCCATAGCTCGGCATAAGATACTGCTCTGCCCTCAGGAGTCAGCGTATTTGTGCTACGCGTGAAGACCTGTCCTCTGAGGCTGGGGCTTGCCCAAAACTCCATACAGGTTAGACATACCAACAGGTGCTCTTTTGCTTCCCCAGTTTATATCTGCTGGTATTTGGTGGAGAAAAGCTGAACCTGGCCTTTGTGTTGCCCCATGCAATAAAGCTGGGTAGTCACAGACACCAGCCACTAGCTTGTACACAGCAAGATCTTTTGCCCTTCCCCGTCTTCCCTTCCCATGCTCTACTGCACAGGGGGCTTGTTCTCATTTTCTTTTTCTAGTGCATGTGGATATTTTGGACTAGATCCCTCCAGAAAAGAATAAGCTCCCCTCACTGGTGAAATAATGTAATGACAAATCTCACTGTGGATAGACTTTGACTAGTTAGGTGGCAAACTGAGCCAAAGAAAACATTTTTCAGCTCAGAGGAGAACCCAAGCGTCCTCCATGTGTCATGTCCAACATCACTCTGAAATCTATTTATTTGCCCTTCAAGATTCCATTCCCTGATTTTAGTGTTTTCATGATGGATATTGGTGCTTGCCAGCTGGCTTTTAAAGCTTTTGTTATTTTCCTCTGCACTACAATTCATTGATCTTTTACTGCACACCAAGGGCTCAGTTCAGATCTAGGTTACACTACTACTGACAGGAGGGCGGGTCTCTTCAGCGTGTTGGATTTCTGTTGCCTAAGAGCAGGTGTAAGTGTGTTCTGCAATCAAGCAGCAATTATCTTTCATCCCGCTTCCATATTCTTTTATTTAAAAAAAAACACTTTTTTTTGCTCGTCCTAAAACAGAGCCAAGTGCTAATGCACTTTACTACATAGAAGAGAGAGAGTTTAAAATAGCTTTGACATTTCATTTCTGCAGCATCGTTTATTTTAGAGATTCAACCAGTGCATATAAAACATTTTATCTCCAAATTGAAAGCACTGCTAGAGTTTATGGATCATCTCTCCTGCCAGAGGTGGAAGCACTGGACTTTTTTCAGTATTTCACTATAGCTGCTAGCACTGCAATTTGTTACAGGTGCTGCACCTTGGCTACAGCCGTGCAAATAAGGGGACTTGGGGTCAGTTGACAAGCAATTTTTAATTTCGGAAAAAATATTTAACCAAAAAAAGAAGAATTAACCTCAAATGAAATTTCCGGAGTTCGTTTATTTTGTCCTGAGAAATGCAAAACTAATAAAACTTTTCACAGACTGCCATAAACCATTCAATTTCATTTTCTAGAGATTTTGTACTTTAAGAATAAGACCTTATAAAACCAGTATGCCTTTTCAGAAGGAAAGGTTGGGACGATTTTGTTTATAAGCTGCCCGGAGGAAATGTATTAGGGAGTTGATGTTTCCTGTTTTTTTCCCCTTCTGTGTAAAACATATTGCATATTTTGCCCCTTATATTCAAACAACGTTTGTCCTCCTCTTAAGGCATTTTGGAAACAAATCTATTATTCTACTCTGCATCAGCTTGGACTGAGATTTCTCAGATTAAGGCCCTGTTTTGCTAAATGCTGCATGTATACCAGAGGAGGATTCTTCTCACCTAAAGCGAGCCATGTAAAAATGACGCATCAGATGAAATCTTATAGTCCTGTAGGAAGACAAGCATCTTCAGAGGACAAGTCATGCCATTTTAGCTTAGGTGTGCAGGTGGGTTAAATCGCCCTTTAAATGGCTCGTCTTCCTCCGTTGACTATAGAGAGACCCTGGATAACTAGCTGAATAAACGCATAACTTTTAGGTGGTAAAAGAGAAGAGGAACCTGCACCCAGGTGGCAATCCTAAAGCATATACAAGCAGTGCAGGCAAGGTATGAAGCAAAACAGTCAAGAAGTGACTCAGCCGTGTCTATGGTACCTCAGAGCCAGGAGTGAAAATCTCATCTCTATATCATGATTCTTCAGCTATCAGCAGTTTCATATGCACTAATCTGGATAGGTGTTTTCAGTGGAATTAAACCATCTCCATGGTTTGTTATTGATATGTACACAGTGACTCTAACATAGGGGCTATGGCCTGAAGAGGAAATATCATGGCTTAAATTTAACTGCTCCCCTCTCCAGCCTCAAAATTCTGACAAGTGCCTTAGAGATTGCAGCCATCACGTTTGCCTTTAGACATCTGCAATGTAGACGCCTATATATGAACTTATTGTCTGGATTCCTTGATAGCTGAAGGACGCAAATAGGTCTTTTTATTTTACGGCAGACAAACATTTAGCTGCATATCTAAAGCTGAACGAATTCTTTCCTTGACTATAAAAGAATCTAATGATAGCTGGTTAAGATCTAAGTATCTCCATAACAGATATCTAAAAGTAGGTGAGGTGAATTTCCGAATTTTACTCTCCCAGAAGGAGGTCTGAGAGGATGGTGATTATGGGGCCAGGCTTTTAGAAGAGAAGAGGGGAGGAAGTCTCTTCTTAGGGGAGGAAGTCACTTCTGCCAGCACTGCCTGGCTGTTACACACTGGATGTAGCCTTCACTTTCCAGCTGAAAATAGACTGACTGAGACCAAGCTCCAGTTAGTGTCCCTGTCAGTTCTGGTATTTGACCTCATTTTGCATCCCATCGTCCTAAATGAGAGCTATGCCTTTAGAAGATCTGCAGCAGGTTGGACTCTCACTATTTGCCTGACAAATGCTGGACGCCGTCACATACGCCTTTGTCTCGTTGTTCCCATAAGGACATCCGCACTGCACCTCATTGCTGGATCACAGCATCTGTAGCTGTGGGGAGGGAGGTGAAGGAAGAGGGATGATTCTGCTCCGTTTTATTGCTTAGGCAGTTTTCAAGGAAGAAGCAATGTTTCCTAAGGTCCTGGAAGAGGAGGCATATTTTTAGCTAAGCTTGCATTACTCTAGAGAAAAAAAAAAAGATTAGAATTTAGTTGATCATAATCCTGGAAAGGTGTCAGACCTATATTCTCTTCTCAGCTTCTCAGCCACAAACTCATTTTCTTCCACATAATTGAACGGTTTGCAATAACACAAGGTTTTGTTTCCTTTGTATTCATAGTGGAGAGAAATTATCCCCTTGCCTCATGTTGTCCTGTTCCTTTTAAATGTGATTTAGTGAGCCTCATTTACCTTAGGGAATAGCTTGTGAAAGTACAAATGGGGATTATTAAGTTCAAGTTCTATCTCGCTGCTTAGAACAGTTTATTATGCATCAAACTTTTCACAGTTCTGCTGAAATTGAGTTCTGTTGGAAAAAGGATTTCGGGTACCAAGGAAGACTGAATTGTGATTTCAGGATCCTCAGATGCCTTATTCTGTGTGAAGCAAAAACATATCTGAAGTGATAGAGGGGGTTTGAACTGAAATAGTTTTTGGTTTGGATCGCAGTGGGGTTGCATTTTTACAAAGATGTTTGAAGCCACTGAGGACATTATTTAGAAGCGGACACAGTTTGGCCATGTTAATTTCTCAAGATGTCAGATGCTACCAGACGCTCTTAAAACCAAAAGCTGTAAATGTTTGCACAATGTAGATTTTGTCCAGATAGGGATTGAAGGAGTCATTCTGGCCATTTCTGTGATCCTATTGTACAGAAATGAAAAATGAACAGCATTTTCCCTGAATCTCTAATTGGAGATACATACCAGTATGGAGGAATCTCAATATGGCTCGAGCTGTGTTAGATTTTGTCATTCTCTCCACAGAAAGCTTCAGTGAGGACATTTTAGAGCAGTCAAGCAAGCAGGGTGTCCAGAGAAATGATATATGACTCTGGGGTACAGCTCATGGGTACGCTGTAAAGCTTGTTCAGGCAGTTCTGAACCCCCAGCACTGAATTTGCTGTCAGGGAAAAATGAAAGTTTGGCCTATCCTCTATTTCCTACAGCAGAAAAAAGCATTTTGCCTGGTATAACATGGATGCAATGGAAACTCAGGTTGATAGTGGGGAGAAAACAGCTTATGAAAAGGTATTGAGAGGACAGATCAGCAATCATTTTCTCATGTTTTTCCTGGGGTAGATTTTGTTGGGATAGAAGCACAGCATTTCCACCAACTGACACTCCTAATACACCCTCACACTGTCAAGCCTGCAGTTTTGAAATACAGTTTTAGTTAAATGCTGCCTAGGCATCTGACTTCTCTTTCGACAGTGGAGTTCACAAGCCTGATTTGGACCATTAGTAAACTTTAGAGAGCAGGCAAACGATGACTTGCATCGCTTCTGTGGTAGCCAAGGATTTGTTAAATTAACTTAACAGTAACTGGAGAAACATACAGCCTGTTACCTGTAGTCCATAGGACTATTTTGGCACCCAGGGGTGGCTGTGATTTGAGCTTGCTGGACCGCAACACATGCACCATTGGCTGTGGGCAGGTTGACCCAGTACGCACTGCAGGGACTCACACTGCAGGGACACTGTGCTCTGGCTGACCCTTTAGGCAGGGAAAAGCACCTCTGCTGTCGTTCTCGGTGCAAAGCAACTGTTGGAGGGTCAGAGCCCGGCCATCCTTCTGAACTGGAAATACTCACGTCAGACATTTTGTGTCTGCCTTTGTCACTCCTCTCTTTGGGCAGATTTTGCTAGGGCAGAAGTACAACTCCTCCGTTGACTGGTGGTCCTTTGGTGTCCTCCTGTATGAGATACTTATTGGCCAATCTCCTTTCCATGGCCAAGATGAAGAGGAGCTTTTCCAGTCTATCCGCATGGATAATCCGTTCTACCCTCGCTGGCTTGACAAGGATGCAAAGGACATTCTGGTGAAGGTGAGAATTATCAAATATCCAACATCTTTTTACCAGAACAGTCATCTTCATCTGTTCAGAGAAACAGCTTTAGCGTGATAAGACCAGAAGGAGTCACCTTCCTATATGTGGCTCTCAAACCACAAGTTTTGCTCAGGAGGGCTCGGATGTTTAGGTATCACTATAAAGTGATAATAATGAAAGCATTCAAAAGCACTTGCTCCAGGAAGACCTACCATAGCAAACTGAGATTTCAGATGTGCTTATGGGACATACAATGCCATCATTCTGCACAAACAACTTGCACATCTGTTCGTTAGGATTAGAAATGGTAATCGTCTTTATACCAGTCACTAAACTTCTTTGCTTAGCAAAAAAACAGCTTCTCCATTATAGGATATTCTCATGGCCAATGACCCTGTAGAGTTAAACATTCAGACCTGCTTAACGCCTTTATCATCAGAGCAGAATTTAACCTGGGGAACCTGCACTGCTATGTAATCAGTTGTCTGTAGGATACTTCAGTTTTGATGAGGTCATAGGTGCTTTTCCCACAAAGTTTACTAAAATTCAATACCTTTTTTTTTTCAAATAGGCCTTCAACTGTCCATACATCAGATTCCTTTGCCGCTACTTTTGGCGCTAGATATTTATATTTATTCTTTGTTGGGTATTAATGATTGTTTGCTTACTGATGGCCAAATGGAGTAGCAGAAAGCTCTTGTCATACGTAAGGGGATTTTGAGATGACCTACAACAGTAGCTAAGTGCTTTTGAAAATGTGCCCTTAGCTCTGAAGAAGGGTATATTGTTGTATTCAGGCCACCGACTATCAGGTGTTGCAGCCATTCATCTCCACTGACCTTAAAGGGATTTAGGACCTGACGCTCTTAAGGCCAGCTAGTTCGGAGGCCGCAGACCTTTTATTGCAGATCTAAAGACAGATCTTTCACAATTCACATGCACCCCTACAGCAATATTTCAGCACTACATCCTGCTCACAAATATCTGCAAGAGCTCGGGAGCATTTAGCACTCCTGAAAATCTTAGCCAAAAACAATTCAGTTGCTTCTGGAGCCAAATAGCTCCAGCGTCATCCTAAAAGTGTCTGTGACAACACAGGATGTACTAAGGTGAAGAGTGGGCCAGACCTGCACTTAGCTGATGATGGAAACATATGCCTCCAATTCTAGCTTTTTCATGTCTTTACCAAGATTATTCCTCCACAGGACTTGTAGCCTGCAACGTGCAGCAAACACAAACTACCTGAATTGGGGATCTTTTGACAAGGTAGACAGATGTCCACGTCTGAGCTAGTCAATGGAGAGAAGCAAGCACTTCTGGGTGTCTTTCATCTCATCTGTAACTGTGTAAAGGTCAGATGATTTGCACCTAAGTTTCTTGTTCGTCTCCTTTTACTATAAGGGAGTCGTAGGTCAAACACTGAACACTCACATCTAAAGGCATAGGAAATGAATCCAACCCCACACAGGCCAGATTAGTATTTCCACACATGATGCTCGTGTTTCAGCCTTCTCGCAAGAAATCACCTGCAAAAGCTTGCAAGTGCTAAAGAGAGATATCACATATGTAGTTGCCATTTGCATGCTCAGACACACATGCTGAGGGCTTGGCTTGGCTGCCAATGCAGCACATTTGTCCTCTCACTCTTGCAAAAGAAAGATATGGCTGAGATCTCTGGGTTTTGGCATGTTAGGCTAAGAATTTAAACTAGTTCCCCAACCGGTAATGCAGTAAGTAAAAGAGTAAAAGAGTCTTCACACTTGCGTCAACCTTGCTTGAGTTTGAAGTCTGAGACCGTATCTGGTATAACTGTCCCAATCTATAACAGTGTTATGGATAAAAGAGGAAGGTAATTCTCTTTCTTCAAAATTCTAGCTTTTTGTGAGAGAACCTGAGAGAAGACTGGGAGCAAGAGGGAACATCCGCCAACATGCCTTTTTCAGGGAAATAAATTGGGAGGCTTTAGAAGAAAGAAAGATGGAGCCTCCTTTCAAACCCAGAGTGGTAAGAATGCATCTCCTTTGATTTTCACATATTGATGCCTTTCATTCCAGAATCATTCATTGCCAAAATATTTATACCTTCCAACATATGCCAGCAGTAGGACAAAGCAGGGCCCCCACAGTAATATTTTAAACCCCTTTACTTAGGAACATTGTCCAAACTCTTCAGAAATGGATCTTTAATGTCGGAAACCTTCATTCCTATCTGGACTCAGGCAGTCAGTGTTTTAAAGGTGGATAAATGTCTGTCACACTGGAATGAACAGATTAAGGCACAAGTTAAGGTTTTAAGAGTGCCCCACACTTTCAGGGTCAGCTTCTAGAGTTGCTCTGCACACCGAGATTTCTGTCTAAAAGTAGATAGAAGACCTTGGTTTTAGGTGGTGAGAATGGAAAATGTTGACTCTTACATTAAATTGTTGCATTCCAGACTGTGTGGTATGTTGTGTACATCAGATGGGAAGGGCTGAAGCCATCTGCAATTTCAGTCTACCAGCATCTTAGTCCTTGTACGGTTGCTGGAAAGATAATTGTGAATTATGTATCTCTGTTGGCTGGGTTGCCCGTCATGGTCATCATGACTGCTCCTTTCTGAAGGCTATAAGGAACCCAGCTCTGGCATCCCCAGACCTGAGAAACCATTAAGTGCTCATCGCTTTCTCAGGCACCGTAGCAGCGGTGTGGACGCCGCTTGAAACACCTTCCCGTAACCGCAGAGGTACAGCCCATTCTGCAGGGGCTATCTGTCATTGCACTGCAGAGAATACAGAGAGAAAACCAATTCAGGTACCCAGGTGGTCTGCTAACTCAAGATGGCATCCATCTTATTATTATTAATAATATTAATTTACTTTGATAAATGCACCATACTTTCATTTTACTGTCCTTCACCAGCATTGTTTAATCGATGTGACCAGACTGCCTTGCTAGAAAGCTGCAATACCCTTGCCTGGTAGAATTCATGGGGTCACAACCTCACTGCCTTTATTCCCATTATTCCTTCAATAGGATAGAAATAAGCAAGTGATTAGCACTAATTACTGGCTATTTAGGGCTCAGACGTACAGCAGTTCACTGCAGTTTGACAAGTTACTGTAGTATTTGGTCTACAGTAACTAGCTGTTGTGCCAAAGACTGAGAGCAAATTCATTGTGGGCTCAGCTGAGCTGATATCCAGCTCCTGCAGTCCTGGTAAGTCGTGTGTGTGTCGGAGTCCCTAGGAAGCAGTTTAATGTGGCCAGTACCATTTTAACGGAGACTTAGATATTAGTGGTTTAATTCTCCTTTTTCTTTTTTTCCTTTTCTTGAAGAAATCTCCGAGTGACTGTAGCAATTTTGACAAGGAATTTCTAAACGAAAAGCCTAGACTGTCCTGTGCTGACAGAGCACTGATTAACAGCATGGACCAAAATATGTTCAGCAACTTTTCGTTCGTGAACCCTAAAATGGAGAAGATATTTTCCTGAGGTCTGCCTTACCCAGGGCTTTCCTTACTAAAGGAATTCTCTGTAAGAGTTTGAGTAACACTGTCAGCTGAAGACTATGCATGGTTGATTTTACCAAGGACCCACCAGGAAAGCACATCTGTGAGAGCTTGTACCACGCCTGGAGGCTTTCGGCTTGTTCCAGTCTATAGAAGATGCCAGCCACAGTTCATTAATGATGAAGTCTCTTCATGATATCTTTTGGTCTCTCTTCTCTCTTTTCTGGATGTTCTTGTAGTTGAGAGCATTTGAAAAGGAGGAGGTGCCAAAACCTGTCCCCTGCAAAAACTTGTGTGCCAGCCAGTGGGTTTCCCTGTAAGTAAAACCAAATATATTTCAACTTCCAGTGATGTTGGTGCCCAGTCCCGCAATTCCCACCTTGCCCCACCTCTTTCTGAAGGATGAATGGCAAGCTCAAGGCCTGAAGGCATCTGGGAAGATTTTAGATTGGCTTGGAAACCTTCACTGGCACGTGAGCAGAATGGTGCATGTGCACATAGAAATTTTGAAGAAGCAGATTACCTCTCCTCACACTTCGAAAATAATCTTCGCAGGTGTTAGGAGTCAGTTTTGCTTCCTAGGATCCACTGGGACAAAGAGACTGTAGGTGCACGTTCCAGCAGTCATATGTCTCAATCAGAAGCTCTTGAGCTATGGGCTCAGCCCTGAAGGAGGATCATTGCAATGGCAAGTGTCAAGATCCATGGAGAAACCCAATGTTTTATGCTAGCATTCAAGCAGGAAAGATAGGAAGTTGCAGTCCACAAGAAAGGGTTAAGAACCCCTGTTCTAAAGCTTTAATTGTTATCCTCACACATACCAGGTTTGGAGTAAAATCTGAACTGAGCTTTCACAGAGTCACAGAATCGTTTAGGTTGGAAGGGACCTCTGGAGATCATCTAGTCCAACCTCCCTGCTCAAGCAGGGACCTCTAGAGCATATTGCCCAGGATCACGTCCAGACGGGTTTTGAATATCTCCAGGGAAGGAGACTCCACTACCTCTCTGGGCAACCTGTGTCAGTGCTCTGTCACCCTCACAGTCAGAAGTTTTTTCTCAGGTTTAGGTGGAACTTCCTGTGCTTCAGTTTCTGCCCGTTGCCTCTTGTCCTGTTGCTGGGCACCACGGAGAAGAGATTGGCCTCATCCTCATCCTTTCTGTAGTTTTATTCTAAAACTGCATCAGAAATGAGGAAGAGGTCTCCTCAAATCGTTGTTTAAGCATCATAAGATTGGCCTTCCAGTCATATCACTGGCTTAATTTACCTGAAAGGTTGTAATCAGTCCTTCCAAAGGCTAATATGCTTTGTATTGCTCTAACTGATGTTACCACCCTTTGGCATGTAGTGCAGACACAGGACAACAAACTGCACCCGGCAGCCACAGGCCAGGACAGCACATTGGCTGAGGCTGGCCCTCTCCTTCCACCTCATGATATTTTGCTGCCTTTGCAATATGTGAAAATGTAGACAGGCAAACAAAAAAATCTTGGTCATGATCCTGTCATAGTGGTACCCTTCTTAAAGATGCACTGTTTTCTGAGGGTGAAGAGATCTAGAACCACCTAGGTAGTGCTTGTCACTGGCAGGCCAGTTAAATATTGGGTTAAAATTAAGTCAAAGCCCAAATAAAGGATTCAGTAATAATTTAGACTTAGGCAGTCACCCCAGCTGATGTTAGGTTCTAATTGAAGTGTGGAAATTGAGAGCTTTGTTGCGTGACCTCCTCCAGTCTGTGGAGAAGAGACGCTCTAGAGGATGAGCCGTCCCAAAATCCGAAAGCCTTTGGAGGTGCCTTTCTGGCTCCATGGGCTGTACAAGGAGCCTGTTAACTTGGACCTCTCTGTGGGACAAATCCAGCCTTGCAGGCTGTGCAGCAGTGTCTGGATTTCACTCGCAGTGGCGGTAGTGCCTGAAGTCGACCAGAAGAGCAGTTGCCCTTAAAAAGGTTTTCCCAGCAGAGTTAGCCCAGTGACTTTTGTGAAATCACTCTTTGTGCTGTATAAAATACAGGGGGAATCTGTGCTTACAGTTTGTGCAGCTGGTCATCATGTTTAATTAGAACAGTTAACGTGAATTTTTAAAATGTCAGTGCTGTTTGTACAGTTTAATAAAATGTTGTGTACAATTGGAGAGCAGATGTCAAGGTGAGTAACAGGGGACAACGATCAAAGGTGCTTGGAAAAACTGTTAAAACTACTCTACTTTTCTGGAGATGTTTCCCAATTTCAACCTGTAAATAGAAAAGGTCATCAAGCATTTGGACAACCATAGCTGTGCTGTGACTGCAGGGACAATTCAAATGCCGAATGCTGCCTACACTTTCTACTGTTGTCATAGAACGCTCTGTAGGGCCAAATCGGCCATGGATTAGACTGTGTTTAGCTCTGCTGAAGTCTATGGATCTCAATTTTCATCAAGGGCAGGTCAGTACCTAAAAGAATGATTTGGCACTCTGCAAAGGTGCCCAGGAAAAGAGTAAAATGCTCCTTTTCACTATCAGAAATATTTGTAACAGGTGGTCTACTACCTCAAAGTGGTTGCAGAGCCAGATGTGGGGAGGTGGCCCGTCACTGTTAAAGGGCAATTCAGGCCATCTTCCTTTGACATCTAATGAAGGATGGATCAGCCAAGTCCTGCAAGAGCCTGACCGTGCCCACACACTATAGAAGGAGTCTAGATGTCCTGACCCAGACTAGAAATTGCATTTCTAAGCATTTGAAGCTAGCTGAGAGGTGTCCCACCCTCAGTGTCTGTTAGGGACATTTTCTGTGCAACAGCACAATGTTTTACTTGTGACGCTAATTCAGGGACACCCCAAGAGAGTATTCTGAGGGAGGAGGATCAGTTAGGTGCTGATTCACCTCTTGTGGTTGAGCAACTGAACTCCCTGACCAGAGACGGGGCTCTCTGTGCTCCTACTCATAGTCCCCATGTGGCTGAAGGAGCCAAACAGAAGAGCAGCTTGTGAGGGTGCACATGTTGGAGTAACTGCAATAGCAGATATGGCACTGAGCTTACTGTATTGCTTTTGATGCAAACCACAAGAGGAGGGGCCTGCTTCTCCCTGCAAGGTGTCATCAGCTAAAAAAACAAAGGAACCCACTGAAGATGGGGGACGGGAGATGGGGGTAGGTGGGTACGAGCCATTACGAGCGCAAGTGCTGTGTGTCTCGCAGGGGGCACTGACTGAAAACTCTCTGAACTGTGTCTGTGGTGTGCAAAGAATGACGTGTTAAGCAGCAAGCCTTTTCCTGTGGTGAAAGCGATTGAGAGATAGAAGCCAACGAGGGCTGAAAGTCAAACATCCGCACGGAAATGAGCAGGAGGAACCCAGATACTCACAGAAATGTTGCTTTGCCTTGGCTAAACCTGGCGCCTTCATAGCAAGCTCTTCTTTTTTTTTTTTTTTCCTTTCCCCTCATCCAAAAAGCAAAAATTAAAAAGTCTTGGCAGGTTGGGTTATTCATTTGCTAAAGACCTAGTTCTGTTCAAGAGCCCTGTGGGATCACAGCATGGGGCCTGCATACATCAGTGTCCAACCTTCAGCATCACCTGCTTCAGCTCAAGGTCTGGGAGCCCTTACCACGTAATTGCTCCTTCCCTCATCTTGCTTCTCCGTCCTACAGATATACAAATTCCTCCTTGCTGGCATTCACAAAACTAAAACTCAGGCCGTTACACGGGTCAGGAGGAGAAGGAGCCATCAGTGAGTGAGAGCCGTGTCTCCAGCCCTCCTGCAGAGATCTCTGAGGCACCATCAGAGAAGGTTTGTTGGCTTACCCTTAGGCTCACAGCTTCTCAACAGTTTGGTTAGGCTGCAGCCCGCAGCCCAGTGGTAACGGTGTGCTTATCCCATGTGGGAGATGCAAGCGTAATTCTGCAGGTTACCATGCCCTTTGGTGCTCACGCAAAGTAGCTTCTACAGGAAAAGCACCTTTATCCAGTGATTAGTGGGCACACCTCGCAACGACAATCTCTACGACAAATGTGAGGATTGCAGAAAATCTCTGCTTGTCAGTGCAGCTCCAAACAGCTGGTGCTGCAGGTAGGTATGTTCTTCCCCCTACTACTGGATTTGCGCCTTTGCTACTTAAAATCGAGGAGAGAGAGATCACAGCTGGGATCTAAAGTGATGTCTCATTCACCGATCCCAGCTCAGCTAGTGTATCACATACTGCAACTAGGATCGTAACCAATATGTGGGCCAGAGCATGCCTTCATGGTGTTGTGAAACCTGCAGAGGTCTTACAGGACCTTGGTAAGGACTGGAGGAAGCCTAAAACCTTTATTTCTTATTAAAAAAAAAAAATTACCAGAACCCATATCACAAGACAGACAAGACAGCTCACGCAGGGTTGGTGAAATGCATGAATTAATGCATTTGTGGCTGGTTTGTAATTGTCACCAGCTGCAAAATGATGGTCCTAAATAGTTCAGTGACTGTACCTGAGCACACTGGGATCTGGTCTACTTTTTGGTAACAGCCAGGACAAAGGCCTTTATCATTTATGCTAACTTAATATATACACACACAAGGATATGAAATAATTGAAAAACGAATCAGAAGGAAAGGGAAACAAAAGAAAAACGGCACTGAGCTGTGGAAGATGAGGCATAGGCAGAGGAAAGGGGAGAAGGGAGAGGTAGAGGCTGATAAAATTCTATGCAACACCTCCCTTCATTCAATGATTTTGACTGTTACTTTGCTGCTGTTTTCCTTCAAAGCCACCAGTACCATCCCAGAGTTGCTTTTGTAGCTGAAGCATAGGATTTCCAGAGATTTCAGAAAATGGGTGAGTCTAAGAGTAGGAGAAATGGACAGCTCCAATCTGACCTCCTGGGTGACAGAGCAGGCACTCCTACCTCTGCATTTCCCACAGAAATCAAAGTATTTCTACCCTAAATCTAGATTCAGCTCCCAATTCAAATACATGAATGCAGCTGTCTACAATAAAGGAATGCTGTTCAGGTGTTGACCTTTAATCATCGAGCCTGACTGGGACACCCAAGGGTATTCTGGAGGACTTCCAGGTTCATCTGCAGTGGGCACGAGTCTCACTTGCAATGTGTGGCATATCCCCCAGCCCTATCACCGCCAGGCCTCTCCAATAGCAACGGGCACCTCTACGTAAGCAACTGAATGAAGCTCTTCACTGGTGCAGTCAGTGGTGTCCAGACAGCAACTCAACTCACCCTGCAGCAGGCACCTGCATTCAGTCGGCTGAGCTGCTCTTCATGGAGGGAACAGAATGTCACAGCTCGGCACATATCTGTTTTTTTTCACTTTTTTTCCACTTTTGCCATTGAGTTGCTAAAGTACCACCTCCTTGAAAGTGAGTCAAAAGGAAGCGTGGTATGACTCATGTCCTGAACACCACCAGAAATGAATAGCCTTTGCTGTGGTGATTACCAGCCTCCCAGCTAGAGGAAATCTGTAGCTTTTTTTTCCACCGCCAGCAGCGGTTGGCGTGAGCCCAGTGGAAAGCAGAGTGGATCTACATGCTTGCAGTGGCTGCTTGTGGGACAGTGGCTGGCACTGGCCTACTGAAGTAGTCTGACCTAGAGACTGGAAATGTCATCATATTTTGTCACTTTCAAGCAGAACCTTTCCAGAAGAGATATCTGAAAATGAGTCATCCACATTTTTCTGCAGTCACTAAAGAAACTTCAGGAAGCAAATTAGGAATCCTTCTGGCACATCCTCATTAAGATGGACACGATGACACTGCATTCCCATTCCCATTGACCAGCCTCTTCCCTTCTCCTTCTCTAAAGCGGTGATAACCAGAGAGGTAAAAGCTCAGGATTTATATTCTTTTGAGAACTGTCTTTGGTTTCAATCTAGATAAGGGCATTCAGTTTCACTTTGAGTTTCAGGATCTGATGAGTCAAAAATTCAAAGCAAAA